AAGACCATTTCAGCCCACAATTGTACTGTATTGTGTTTAAAGATCTCTGTACAGGGCCCTTAACACTCTGGGTCTATGTTCTTCTGTTCTTATGTTCTCCCATTCGATTGTGTATAAATAACTATAAATTTTGAGTTAGTCCGTTGGTGGGTGTGAGTTAAAAGATTGTCATTTTATCGTTGACAAAGAAGCCACCAGGTGTGTTGATACCTGTTGTCTAGCATTTACCTGTCACACCCACCTGTCACACCCACCTGTCACACCCACCTGTCACGCCCACCTGTCACACCCACCTGTCACACCCACCTGTCACACATCGTTCACTTTCCACTGTCCTCCAGTTGTCTCTCCTGACCTCCACAAAAATGGCGGAGATGGAAGGACAAATATATTCTATCATTTCATCTCTGTATCCTGACGTGATGTATGATACAGTAAAAGTTATAGTTTGTAACACGTAAATGGTAACTGTATCGCCAGCTGACTGTGTGTAAAGATAACTGTTGCCTTCACCACCACCGGCTGGCAACACAGTTCGTTGACTGATGAAAGTATTCTTCTATTCTTGTATTTTATTAAACGGGAATTGGTGACATAAACAACCTTACCTAACTTAAATCACCGAAAGATTAACCTAACCTCACCTCATCCCCTCAATACTGTTAAGGTGGTTAATCTTCAGGTGAAATAAGCTGGGGTACAGTTTCTTCCGGTGATCCATTTTTTTTTTCTTATTGTTAGGTTACGTTAGGTTACGTTACGTTAGGTTACGTTAGGTTACGTTACGTTACGTTAGGGTCAAGATATATCAATGATTTTAACCCTGTGGTTGTCCCCGAGTGTAGAGGTTTGTTGACACTCCTTTATATCGAGGGTCTGTTAGATTATGAAATCCCCATCTAACGTACAACATGAAGAGGTAAAATCCGTTATATGAAGATTTACCTGTAATTAACGCACGTGTGTGGGGGGTGACGCGCACGGTGTGTGTGTGTGTGGCTATCACGTGTACGGGGGCGGGAGGCACGTGTGAACTTTCCCTACAACCTCACGTGATGGACCATAGTAACAGCCCACAAGAAGTACCCTGGCGCTGGTGACGTCGGCTGGCTGGCTGGCTAGTATGTAGGGCGTCTGCCACACACCCCTTTGTCGGAAGACCCCTCATCCTCCCCCTCCCGAGGCTGGGTACAACACTAACCCAGACACGAACTTTTTCCTGTGGTTTTCTCTATAACATTTTTCCCCAATGACTTTCCTGTGATTTTTCCAGCGATTTATTATTATTTTCCTTGTGACATTTTTTCCCACATTAGATTTCTCGCAGCGTGTGCACTTCTTGCCACATTGTTTACACTGGTATAAATCACAAAACATTTAAACTTCCCCAACACAGTCATTTACCAGTTACTCACCTCACTATGGTTAACTAAAAGTTGTTACAACACAGGTACACAATGTTACATAAGAAAGGTACAAACTTACTCTTACACAATGGGTGGACGCCATGCCAGGCCGAGCTCTTGCGTGACTGTGTGGGTGAGTGGATACCAGTCGACCAGTCATAAAGTCGTTCACTCACTGTACATCCATATGCCTCAGTCAGTCAGTTTCAGTCATGTCATCCACCAAGTCATAACCTCAGTCAGTTCCAGTCATCCAATTCAGATACTCAAACAGTCATATTAAATCATCCACTCAATCAGTTAACATCTTAGATATTATTGTCTGATGAAGAACCACCCCCCCCCCCGCTCCATTCCTGCTCAGTTCATTACGAAACCTCTTCCTCCCCTCCCCCTTTCGTGTTGCTAAGGAGGGGAGGGAGGGTGAGGTAGGGGTGGTTGGCGCCGCGGTGATGCTTGTGTGCAGGGGGAAGGGGGTAGGCTAGGCTAGGCTAGGCAGGATGGCATATGTTGGCACTAATGCATCTTGGTGAGCCTCCCTTGACGCCAGACAGGGTACAGGATGGGTCTGGGGTGTGTCTGTTTACCATCATCTCATAGTTTTGTTTTATTATTTCTTGGTATTTCATTATGTTTCTCTGTTGTACTTTAAGTGATACATAATGGTGGGTTTAATTAAAGGCTTTTTTTACGATTCTCTTACTAACTATTACCAAGAAATTCTCATCAGCTAAGTTGACAAACTTGGAGGAAAAATCCTTTACGAGGGAAGAACATCATCAGTCATGTCAGAAATGGCGGTAAACTACATAAAAGACCCAAAAATATTTATCGAATGTAAGATATACGCAGTTCGTTTCTTTTCCCAATGATAAACTTATAATTTTATCTTAAATGAGTTAAATGAATTAGAATACTCGTTTCGATAAAGATATCAACAAGAGTTTGGTGTTTTATCACTTATTGTTGGCAGCGTAGCGTGTTGTTGTCGCCAGGCAGGCATCTGGGTACATAGCTCTGATTTTTATTTGCTTTTATCTATTATTAAAAGGTCTACACATGTCGGGTTTTAATTTTGTCTTTAATTTGAGAATATAAACCATTTCTGGGATTTAAAAGCTTTCGTGTTAGAATTTTTACGATGGTTTAACCCCTTGAGTACGACGATTTTACCCCTTCAATACGATGATTTAACCCCTCGAGTACACTAGACGAAGGAGTAGCACCCGACCTTCGTATCTTGTGCTGCCAATTGAAATTTTTCCCGCGTCCGAGTAGTTGACTGATCGCCGGATGAGGGCCATTATGCAGTCCGCCCTCATGGTGATTTTATCGTTAGTAAATGTGAGATGGGGCGGAGGAGAGTGAGGAGTGGGGTGAGAGGAAAGGTGGGGTTGAGTAGGAGAGAGAGAGAGAAAGGAATGATTTTTTTCAGTATTATGTCAATTTGTATTGTGGTTGGGTAAAGGAGAGAGGAAATAATAGGAGTGGAAAGAAAGAGAGGGATGATGAGAGGGAATTTAACTGGAGGGGTGTGGTAGTGAGAGGGGTGAGAGAACCATTGCCTTGACCTCTAAGTGCCCGTCACATCAGCCAATGACCCCACACCATATGTATGTTGTTGTTGTTTATGTTGTTGGGTGGACAACCAGAACTCTTGCACCGAGCCCCGCCCCCCTCACACACCCCTGACGCCTGCCTCCAACAACACTCCCCAAGCTTCTCTCACCCCCACCCTTCTCCTCTCTTACCTCCCCTCCCTCTCACCCCACACCCTTCTCCTCTCTTACCTCCCCTCCCTCTCACCCCCCCTCCCTTCTCCCTCTCTTACCTCCCCTCCTCCTCACCCCCACCCTTCTCTCTCTTACCTCCCTCCCTCTCACCCCCACCCTCCCTCTCTCTTACCTCCCCCTCCCTCCTTCACCCCACACCCTCCCTCTCTACCCTCCCTCCCACCCCCCCAATCTCTTCTCCTCTTACCTCCCTCCCTCTCACCCCACACCCCTTCTCTCTTACCTCCCTCCCTCCTCACCCCAATCTTCTCTCCCTCTCTCTTACCTCCCTCCCTCTCACCCCAGCCACCCTCCCTCTTGCAGACCTCCCTCCCTCTCACCCCCGCCCCTTCTCCCCCTCTCTTACCCTCCCCTCCCTCCTCACCCCAATCTCTCTCCCCTTACCTCCCCTCCCTCCTCACCCCACACCCCTCCCCTCTCTACCCCCCTCCCTCCTCACCCCCACCCTCTCTACCCCCTCCCTCTCACCCCACACCCTCCCCTCCACTCCTCCCCCCTCCTCTCACCCCTGCCCTTCTCCTCTACCTCCCCCCCTCCCTCTCACCCCACACCCTTCTCCTCTTACCTCTCTCCTCTCACCCCACACCTTCTCCTCTTACCTCCCTCTCACCCCACACCCTTTCTCCTCTACCTCCCTCCCTCACCCCACACCCTTTCTCCTCCCTCCCTCTAATTCCACACACCCTTCTCCCCACCTCCCTCCCTCCCCCACCCCACACCCTTCTCCTCTCTACCTCCCTCCTCTCACCCCCCTGCCCTTCTCCTCTCTTACCTCCCCTCCCTCTCACCCCACACCCTTCTCCCTCTCTTACCTCCCCTCCCTCTCACCCCACACCCTTCTCCTCTCTTACCTCCCCTCCCTCTCACCCTCTCATAGTACTCTTCCTGCTTCTCACACCCCCTCCTCTCCCACTCGCTCACTGCAGCTGCATTGTTTACACTCTCGCACCCTTCACTGCTGGTATCGTACATAAGATAAATGGTATCAGGTGTAGCTTGAGTGCTTGTGTATATAAATAAATCAAACCTAACCTAACCTAACCTAACCTAACCTAATCTAATCTAATCTAACTGAGCCTTGAGGTTTGGTGTTGGGTGGTGATATTGGCTGACAAGTTTTGGGGGTCAACGTGAAAGGCATATGGCTTCCGAGTCTTCGTGCGTCTCACTGTAGGTGTTTGAATGAATCGTTGTTGTGCTGAGAGAGAGAGAGAGAGAGAGAGAAAATATTAGGAAGATAAATAATAAAACCATTTGTCAGTATATCTTTAATGTCAAGTTGAGAAGAGATGCACTTTACCATCCAACTTTCTCCTCCCTTGACCTTCCCTCCATCTCTCTCGTCTCTCCTTCACTCCCTCCTCCCTCCCTTGATCTCCTCTCCTCCCTCAGTAGGGGTGGAGGCGGCCCAGATATCATAGTTTCACCTGGCGCCAGTCATGTACCCTCAACCCCATCTTCCCTCCTTCCCAGTCCCATCCGCTCTCCGTTAGCTTCTCTGGGGGTCACTGATTAAAACTAGTTGACTGTTTGCAGTCGACCCCCAGCACATCAACCACCTCCCTACCCCCTACCCCCTTCCCTCCCCAAGCACCCCTATCCCTCGGTGGTCATAAACTGCACCACGGCCACTTTCCCCTCCTGAGGTCACCGCTTAATCCTGGCTGTGAGTGCGTGCGTGCGTTTTAACTAAGTATTCTAGTGCCGTATGTTTAATTTCTAGCACTTAGATAATAATAACACCATCACAACACACTCACAACACCTGATCTACCTGTCCGTCACACCTGGTCAGCGTGAGGTACTAACTGTAGTGTGTGTGTGTTGCAGGTGATCGTTGAGAGGTACAGCAAGGAGACCACTCTACCCATCCTGGACAAGACTAAGTTCCTCGTGCCTCAAGAGCTCACCATGTCGCAGTTCGTCACCATCCTCAGGTAAGTTCACCATCTTCTTATGTATCACAGTCTAGTGTGTCACCATCCTCACCATCTGCTAGTGTCACCATCCTCAAAGAAGTTCACCATGTGGGGGGGGGTGAGGTGTTTACGTCGGCGTCAACAAATCGATTTTCTTTTATTGTATATTATCTCGTGAGTCATCAGGTGAAGCCATTACCGTTCGTGAGTTTCCGAGGCGGGGCGGGGCGGGGCGGGGCGGGGGCTTGGTGGATGAGGGAGATTCATGAGCCCTTCCCTCTCCTTCTCTTCCTCTTCTTCCTGTCAGTCTCTCCTCTCTTTCTCCTTCCCTGCCTTTCTCTTCTAATTCCTCCTCTCCTTGCCTCTCTTCTTCTCCTCCTTGTCTCCCTTCCTGCTCCCCTTACCTGTCTCCCTCCTCTCCTTACCTGTCTTCCTCCTCTCCTTATCTGTCTCCCTCCTCTCCTTACCTGTCTTCCCTCCTCTCCCTGCCTGTCTTCCTGCTCTCCTTATCTGTCTCCCTCCTCTCCTTACCTGTCTTCCCTTCTCCCTTACCTGTCTCCTCCTCTCCCTTACCTGTCTTCCTCCCCCTCTCCGCCTCTCTCCTGCTCCCCCCCTTACCTGTCTCCCTCCTCTCCTTACCTGTCTTCCCTCCTCTGTCCTTCTTGCCTGTCTTCCTGCTCTCCTTATCTGTCTCCCTCCTCTCCTCCTTCTTCCTCTTCTCCTTACCTGTCTTCCTCTTCTCCTTACCTGTCTTCCTCCTCTCCTTGCCTGTCTTCCTGCTCTCCTTATCTGTCTCCTCCTCTCCTTACCTGTCTCCTCCTCTCCTTACCTGTCTCCCTCCTCTCCTACCTGTCTCCCTCCCTCTCCCCACCTGTCTTCCTCCTCTTTTTGCCACTTTCTTCCTCCCTTTCCTACCTCTCACTCCCTCAACTCACCTGTTACTAGCCTGGTGAAGAAGAGGAGGAGGAAGAAGTTGAGGAGGGGGGGAGGGAGGTGAGCGTGTTACTAAGTGGGAGGGGGGTAGATGCTGAAGTGGAGGGGAGATAGGAGGGAGGGGGTGGCGAAAATCGTAGAGGTGTTACTATGGAGGGAAGATGGAGAGATGTAAGGTTCAGGAGGGGACAGTAGTATCAGCCAAGTGTGGGGGTTCACACACCTAATTGGAACCTACAGTACCTCAGTAATGGAGAGAGGGGGGGGGGAAGGGTTACTCATCAGGTGAAATAAGCTTGGGGGGCTAATCGTCAGGTGATCCCTCCCAGTGTGTCTGTCAAGGGACACAGCAGGATACCAGGTAGGTCATCACTCGTGTATCCCCTACAGCCTCACATGGTCTGCCAAGGACGCCCTAATGATGGCTTCTTGGCCTTGTGTAACCCTAAAAAGTATCTTAACAATTTTGTGGGAGACAATATGACACAATGGACGAAGGATTTTGACAACCCTACCCAGACAATAAGATTCGTGGTGTCCATTTCGAAATTCATCGTACCCTTCCATAAAGATACTTTTTGGGTGTGTTTATATTGTATCGATTCACCTGAAGAATCACCACCCCAACTTATTTTACCAGAAGATTAACCACCTTAACACTATTTGAGGGGATGAGGTCAGGTCAGGTCAGGTCGATAGGTTAGGTTCAGTTAAGTTAGATTTAATTGGTTGGTATTTGACATCAATAATAGTTATTTTGTGTACAGGGTAGGGTTTGGTTTGGTTTGGTTTGGTTTGGTTAGGTTAGGTTAGGTTTAGTTAGGTATGCGTGCCCCCAAGCGCCCAGTAAGAATCTGTTGAGACCCGAGCCAAAGTTGGTAGCCACACACAGCCCTTGTGTTAACCATTCTGTTTACTTAGTCATGATTTTTTTGGGGGGGAAGAACTGAAGTAATAAAATGTTCCACAAACACATGACCTTATATGGGTGCTTTGTGCCCTCTGAGTTCATTAAACAAGATGAGTCGGTATTTATGTGTGGACTCGGTGATCTGCGTCTCTCACCCCACACACACACACACAGATAATAGGAGACAATAATAGAGTTACATCAGCTGGAATATTAGATCAGCTAATAGAAGACGAGGCAACATTTACTCTTTTAACCAAATGACTGACGCGTGGAAACTGTCAATTGTTGTCCTTCATTGGTAAACAAACCCAGACATACATCGCGGTCACCATCCTCACAACATCTTAAGTCTGTGTTTTATATTTAACTGTATTATGAAACTTACATGTGTGTTTTGTCATAATATAAAGAAGAGTCTGGTACAAATTGCGCAGTGGACCAGCAGTTGTGGCGGCGTCAAGCAGGGAGTGTTGCTTACCCTCGCCACCCTTCGTGTTTATTGAACGGCCTTGACTCTCATGACAGCAGTAGTGTGTCTGTTAGTTCCTCACTGTAGTATTGGTCTAACTTTTGCTGAGATCTTCTGATGATAGAGACACGACATCCAGAGCTTATTTCACTTGAAGATTACCACCTTATCCTAACCCAACCTAACCTGGCGGATGAGTGCAGCCATTAATCCTGTACTCTTAAGACTGTAATAGAACATGACATCTTGACCTGCCTAGTGCTTGTCCAGGATTGAGATATACTGGAAGTACATTGTATTATTAAAGTCTTTTTATATACAGTGCAGTGTATTACATACCTCTTGTATGAAATGATTACTATATCGACAAATGCTGCTGCACTGACAGAGTTTGATACAAACAGTATTACCGTTTAAGATAGATCATTAACACACACACACCAAGGGTTAGAGGGGCAGAGCGTGACCTGTGTATAGAGTGGGAGAGTTACACATAGCGCCATCCACTCCTGTGTTGAGAGATTCCTGATATAAAGTTAATTTCTATTCTGTCAATATGAGTATAAACAAACATGTCTTAGTACAGTCTCGGAGCTATTTTTGTCGCCATCTTAATCCCTTAGCTACAATAAGAGGCTTATATCTCTGTTACCCGAAGAATTTTAACATAGTGACTTTAATACTTTTGAGGACTCGGGCCAGATTCAGATTAGCCCCCGAGGGGGCTAGTTTATTGGGCACCCCCTTACATCCTGTGCAAGGTGAAGCGCAGAAGCGTTTACAGCGCCCAACAGGGAAGTATGAAAAGTTCATACTTGCCTTTGAGGACTCGGGTGGTAACAGCTGGACGCTTCCCTTGTAATTTCTTAATATCTGGTCCGTCACGTAAGGTTGGGAGGCTCTTAGAGTAAAAACAACCTCCTCTCTCCCTTCCACCTCTCTCCTCCCTCATTGTTTATTTTGTTACTTTCAACGATAATAATAATTCTTGATGTTACTCAGAGATACATCAGACTGGTTTTTGTGTGTGTGTGTTTATTGTATTATTAATGTCAGTATTTTATTGATTGTAAGGAAAATGCTATTGTTTAACCGAAATCTAACTTTTATTGAATTTATTGATTTTATTAATTTACTAAAACTTTAGAAATTTGTTTGTCTTTTATTAGTTTGTAGGAAAATGGTCGACGTTCCTTATTATTTCATCAGTTTGTAAGATGATGATTCAAGTTTGTGTTTATATCGTCAGGAACCGCATGCAGCTGCACAGCACCATGACCTTCTACCTCCTGGTGAACAACAGGTCGCTGGTCTCACTGTCACGGCCGCTATCAGAGGTGTACAGGGAGTGTCACGACGATGATGGCTTCCTCTATGTTACTTACGCCAGCCAGGAGGTGTTTGGGTGAGTACCTGTACCTCCTTTGGACAGTTAGGAGGTGTTTGGCACTTATTGACTTACTGTAAAGCTAAATATCACTAAATTAAATAACATTAACCTTCAGTACTGTTGATTGTGGTGATAAAATTAACCCAAGTTATTGATCATTTCAGGTAAAGTGTGTGTATGGCGATGCTTGCTTCTCGTATTTCTGTGATAGACCTCTTGGAACTCTGCTCAAGCCATGGGATCCTGTACAGTATCTTGACGTGATACAGTTGTGTTATGCTCACCGGTAATCCACCATCACTAACGCTGATAGCCTTAGCAAGAGCACCATTGTACATTAAGCACTGACAATTTTTGCTTCATTTTATTCACACTTACGGTAATAGTGTGAATTCAGAATGAAATAAATGACCTCGTGTCTTAAGGTTAATATTTTATGTCTTATAGTTATTATAGGTTTTAATGATTCAGGATAAGTTGTCTAGAATGAAAACTAGACTTGAAAAACGTTTATATCAGGTTATGGATGTTGGGTACAGAGTCACTTAATATCTGGATCTGAATTTGTAAACTCTCAGCTTGGTGATGTAAAGTGAGATATTGGTTTTATGTTTTGACCCTTCCCTTGTTTAAAGAAACTAGGAAATTAACCACATAATTGACTTGTTACCTAAGATCCACCTACTTATGGCTTCCTTTAGCGACCATAACAGGTTGAGTGGCTGCCAGTTGCTAAGTGAATCAAGTCGCCACATCAGTAAATGTATACAGTGCAGTCCTGATAAATTTTCTCTCGTCACTGTGAGTTTTGGTGGTGGCAATTTTTGGTTTCACAGTTTTATTATTTTAAATGTTGTAAAATTTGCTGATATGACATTGCAATAATTATTTCCACAGCCATCAGTCAGTCTCTACTTGTGGCAGTTGCTAAAGATGATAAATATGGGTTAAAATTATTGTAGAGGATAGCCAGGTTATGTCATGTGGTTCACCAAGTACATTGATTATTATTGATGCGTTGATTTTTTTTAAAAAAAAAGTCAATAAACTAATAGAAATGTTATTACACTTGTATGAGAAGTTTGATGTTGTTATTCATAACACTGTGATGACCATAACACTGTGATGACCATAACACTGTGATGACCATAACACTGTGATGACCATAACACTGTGATGACCATAACACTAGCTCATGTGCATGTAATAATTATGTTGTATAGTCACAGTCAAAAAGTCCCGCCACATCTGTTGCTTCACGAACCCTGAGATTCAGACTCATGAACCTGAGGTAGTAGACATTGATGTATTATTCTGTCCGTGGATGCTTTGGGTCCACGAGTCTGAATCTCGAGGAACATGAAACCGTTGGAGAGGCATCAGGACTTTTGACTGTGAGTGTACAGTTGATTAAAAAACTACTGTATCTGTACTCTTGACGCCGATGAATTTCACAACGAACATTACAACTCTTGTTGTCTTGGTAGGGTTGTCAAAAATCTTCGTCCGTTGTGTCATATTGTCTAACACAATTTTGTAAGGATTATTTTTGATCGACTTTACCTACAATATTTATTCAGTATTCCATGAACTCATTGCATCTACAAGTTGTAAGTACAGTAGTGACTAATATTGATTCAGATACACAAGCAGGTTCTTCCAATTTTATACCGTGTACGCATGTGTTTAGTTTTTAACATTGTCCCAGGATTGAAGGAGTTTATAGGGAGTAGAACCATAGTCAAGAAAGTCGCTGATGCCAGGATCTTGGTGCATCAGACAACATGGTATATTTACTTGTGCCTTGCAGTTAAAAGTCACTGAATTTACACCGTTGGTTCACATGTTCAGCCAAAACGTCATGAGAATTACATAGTTATTTACTAGAGACAATTTGTACTTTAATAGTTTGATAGTTCTATAAAAATTAAATCAATGCAACATTTTTATCATCACTAGGAATTTTCATTTGATTGTACTAAGTTAGAGAATTTAGCTCATATGAATCATAAACATTATCTTACTCTTGGTATCACAACAGTTGTATAAATGAAAGACCCCGATATGGTGCTGTATAACCTCTCATAGTGTCTAACCTTCAACATATCCAGATACAGTACAGTGTAATGTATGCAGAAACATTTTTCATATCTGTATTTTTACAGTACAGTACAGTACAGTATAATACAGTATAATACAGTATTCTCATGTGATAAACTTTTCAACCATCAATCACTAAATGTAAAGATCTCTGAGGACTAATTCAATATTGTAGATGGACAGGATAATATTTATGTTTTATTATGTTAAAATTTTAATGAACTTGTATTTATATAAAAAAGTATTATTTAAAAGTTTGGGGACAAGATAGTATGTACAGTATATATGTTTTTAAATAAAGGTTTTTATTATTAACTGACTCTCTGTTGTAATATTATGACTGGTCTCTTGTTTAATAACGTTTTTTATATAATGGTTCAATTGTCTGACTTTTTTACCAAATTTAAACATCTGTATTGATCACTTTTTTGGATATGAAATAAAACTATAAAAATTTTACTGCCATACTGCTGTTGAGAGTTCAAATATAGGTATTAAGTGAACTCTTAAGTTATTGTTCCAGATTTATGTGTTTATCTCTAAGATAATAATGTATTTTTATTGATTTATAAAGAAAATTAAATAAAAATGTGTTTTATTTGGTATACACAACACCTGTACAGTATACCTTCAGAAAAAAGGAAAATTGTTTATATGAGCGAGTTAGTAATCATCCATCATTATTAAGGTCAATGTTTCTGAGTGAAGGCGATAAGTGAGTATCTCTTATTTACTGCTCCAATATTTTCCTTTTGTTTTCCTTACTTGTCTTACATCACTGTTGCCGGTGTTGCCTTTCTCTGAGGTAAGTCTCTCTTCATCTCCACACTACTGTGCAAGAGGAATACAGATAATACACTTTAGTTAATACTTTACTTTATTCAATTTGCCACTGATTGGTTGGTCACGTCTCTGTTGGCAAGCACTGGGTAATGTACAGACTCATTAATGCATTGTTAACAAGTACTGAGTATGCACCGGTGCCAGTGTTGGTCAAGGCTGGTTTTAATAGAAAAGTTGATACTGTAATACGGACACTTTATGCTGGGCTACATGGATGAGGAAAATCCTGGAGGAGTCCTGGAAACAGACGGTCCGTCTCTCGTCACGATCTTCAAGAGTGAGGTGCTTCCCCGTCTGGAGTACTGTCACGCCCGTCTGGTCCCCGAGGAATGCTAGGGACTGTCAGTTGATTGAAAATGTTCAAAGGAGGGCCACCAGACTGGTGCCTGCACTACGGCACCACAGCTACCCTGAGAGATTGGAGCGCCTGCAATTGCCTAGCTTATACTACAGACGGGAAAGGGGGACCTAATTGAGGTGTATAAACCTCTCAAAGGGCACTACTCAATCGAGTGTTCTTACCTGGGGCTGGCCCACGCTCGCCCCACAAGGGGTCACAGCTCAAGGTTGAAGAAGCCGCAAGTCCAGAAAACTGTGAGGGCAAACTTTTTCGGAGTGAAGAGTTGTGAACTTGTGGAACAATCTACCAGAGAGTGTTGTGACGGCACCGAGTGTGAGCTCTTTCAAGACAAGACTTGACCAACACTGGAGCGGGTTCAGGTACATTCAGGAGCCGGTGCATGCCCAGTATTTGCCAACAGTGCGTGACGGAGACGTGACCGATCGCCCGGGCGGCTAACAAGCCGATCAGTGGCGAAGAGGATAAAAGTAAAAAGTATTTCACTAAATCAAAATTCAGGAAATGTGTGGGTGCCTCAAAACTGAGACTACAGTACATCATTTGTTGCTGTATTTGTCAATTCAGATTGCAAAATGTCATTTATTGGCTTTCGTACAGTACATCATCACCAACTGAAAACTATCCATATACACGCAGACTGCATGCCCAGTTCTTGCCAATAGTGCCTAACAGAGACGTGACCGATCGCTCGAGTGGATAACGAGCCGATCAGCGGCGAAGAGGATAAAGGTATAAAAAAAAGTAAAAGTAAAAGTACCTCACTAGTCAGGAATTGAACCCGGGGTATGTGCATCTGTTATTATTTGTGTGTGTGTGTTTCTATTGAAACTAAGTAAAGTTAAAGAAAGTTATCAAAATATTTATATTTACGATCTTTTTAAAAGCCATCAGCTGGAGCAATGGTACAACGCCTGTGATTGGTCGCCGAGTATGTGAGAGGCACGTTGATTGGTCATCCTCAGGACCTTTAATATTTCAGACACATGGACGGGCTCTGTAGGACTCAATACTGCACTCAATACAGTATTTAAATACGCGAGTACTTGATGATGGCGGTAAATAAGGTTGTAAGATGGCCCAAGATATATCTCTTCGGAGACTCAATAACACAGGTCAGTAAAACAGTCCAAGTGTACAGTAGACGACCACTTGTGTCACAATATACACTCTTAACACCACCATGGCGAAGACTAAATCATTATGAACCAAATATCATTAAAAACAAAGAAAGTGGATAAAATTACATATAAATCCTCATAACACTGACGGCAACTCCAATACAGCACATTGGTAAGTGCACACAACTCTGTTAGAAAGTTAAAACAAATATTGTTCTAGTGTATTAATGTTTAGAGCGGTGATGACATTTATTAACGTCGGAAATTGGCCTTTTATTTTTTCGTTTTTCTTTGGGGGGGGGGGGGGCGTTTGCCGACAAATATTATGGCTAAGCGAAAACAAAATACACAAAAAACACTAGAAAACATAAACCTGATCTAACCTAACTTAACTTGACTTGACTGACTCACCAAATGATGGAATCACTTATTTCTTACCTTATTGGCCTGGTTCTCGTTCGTCGATTGAGTTACCACAACGTCACATGTGTTGGTCTTGACAATATTTACATTTGTTCTTGCATTTAGGACACTTAAATGAGGTTGGGAGAACACCAAGAGATCTAAAAATGCTATAGTTTCTTCTTTTTTTTCCCAAAAGCTCGCAATCAGCTCCATATAATTGAAGTGACACCCATCGCAGACTTCCATGGTGGGAAATGAATTTGAATTTGGAAATATGAGAGACCCAAAATAAAAATCGAATTTGATTGGGCCAAAAATACTGCGAATTAAACCACAAATCATTTTAATTGGTTGCAAAAAAAAAACTTTTGATTGGTCGCATGACGTGTACAGGAACGCATGTGCATGATGTTTTATGAAGGAGACATGCAGTGTGGGAGGTGAGGTAGGCGATAATGGCGGAAGATTAATTGAAGAAAATACAGAAAACTTTGGATATGCTATCTCCGTTATTATACATTTGCGATGGTAATGTAATAGAGGAAAATTATCTTATAATTAGACGTCTTATTCGAATATGATAATAGATTAGGGGTAGGAATGTTTGGCACAGAAATGCAATAATACCAGCACATTAATTAAACCGCTTCTGACTTCATCTTACATAATATGATTGACTTAACCTAACTAAGCCGGATCTCTTGAACCCCAGCTTATTTCACCTGATGATAAAACACCTTAGCCATAAATGAGTAAGTAGCTTAAATTAGTTAAGCTTGGTTGGTTAGCATTAGGTCGTTTAATCATGTGAAATAAGCTGAGGTTCCTAATTTTCATGAGATCCACAGGTTTTCCCTTACACCTGGTGCAAATGGAATCACTAGTTTTCTTACCTGATGAAATGGCCAAAAGTGGATAAGGAAAAAGTTTTGTTTACTATAATTCTGACTATTTTCTCCTGTAAACCTCTGATGGCAATATATAAGTTTTGTACACCATGTTTGTTTGGTCTACAGAGACATTTCCTTTGATAGACTATTTTTTCGTGTTTAAAGATAATAGATTATGTTTGGTTATCTTAGGTAGGTTAGTTTAATTCACCTACTCAGCATTTTCAGATTTTACTAAAACTTTTTAACCTTGATAGATAATGTAACACTTTATTTAGATTCTGCAAAAACCCAGCACCTATACTGTAGTTACATATAAGTTGCATTGTTCTTCTAAACACAGTTTACAACATATTTACATTATAGAGCTGTATAGAAGTTGTCCAATAGTTTAGAATGTGTACTATGAAAATTTTCTTGGAGATTAAGTATTTTTAGGTTAGGTTAGGTTAGGTAACACCCATTTTTCTTTGTGTAATGAAGCTTCGACAAAACTGGATCTGGAGTATCTACCCTAATGATGTTAATAGTACTGTTTCAGTGGTGAAGGCTGCTGGGGAGCTCTTGTGGCTGATCACTTTCAGAGGTAAGAAAGGAAACAATTTGAGCCATGTTAAGAGCTTCTCAAGGTTAACATGTACAGGCATTTTTATCACTTACATATGTGTTTAATTTGTTTTATTTGTATCTTTTTTTATTGTGACTCTTGGTTGAATTTTTTTGTAGGAACACATCTCCAATTCCATAATGGGTTTTAATTGGAGAATTAGTTTTGTTTTACAGAGATTTATGCTACAGAAAAATTTTCAAGTAATGTGGGTGATGTGAGTACAGTACTGTACAGTATTATTTTGTTAATGTTTACAATTTATCCATCAAAGTTTTTATCTGTTCATGAAATTTTTCTTTTTATTTGTATTCCCTGTGATTGTATACCTGTATCCACTCCAAAAAGTGTCTTTAAAGAGGGATCTGGTGAATTTCAAAATGAACACCATGACTCACTCCTGTTGTCTCAGTAGGATTATCAAAACCCTTCGTCCGTTGTGTCATGTTGTCTCGCACAGAATTGAAAAGATACTCTTTTTAAGGCCCGTTCACACTATCGAGCAGTGCCCGGCGGGCACGCGCTAAATGCCCGTTATCGGGCAAAATTGGCGGGCAAACCAGCGGAATGCCCGTGCCCATTGTTGAGCGAAATCATGGTCCGCCTGCCTGGTGGTTTGCTGCCGGATATGGAATGATTACTCTGCCAGACAAACGAAGTTGACCCTGGGACCCTGGCTGTCAGTTTCTCAGTCTCGCCACAACAGTCACCACTGTACTATGTTTAGCCCACCGTCCACCAAAGAACAAAGAAACATTCATTGATATTTACGTATATGCATGTAGGTACATAATCTTTGATTGACATGTCTTTATTTTGTGGAGAGGGTGTCTGTAATTATTATGTGAAATAAAGTTTGTCTTTATACAAGTTGTGTCAATCATCAATATCTTATTTGCAAACAACCTAGTCCCAAACAGGTCCATCATGTATCACATGTGTATGGCAGGGTTACCCACTTCACAAATACTAATATGTTTTAATATCATTTTCATTATTAATAATCGATAAAACCGGAAAACCGACATTCCTATAATATCGTCATTAATATTCAACATTACACAAGCCTGCAGTACAAGACACATGTTATTATTGGAACCTCACGCGACTGTCAAAAACAGCTGATCACTTCGCCACCGCTGACCTCGGGGTCCTCAAGTCGGTGAGGTATGAACAGAGATACTGACAGAACGTATGCTAGCACTTTGTAAAACCTGAGTTAAGTACAGTATATGTTCCCCGCTCGGTCCAGATGTCCAGTGTATAACCAAATAAGCTTATGCAATGTACATTATTGGCGTGACAATAAACGGGAGATTGTTTATGTATTATGTAATGAGGACATTCGTGTGTGTTCTTCGTTCCTGCCGCTCTCCTCACTCTAGTCCCATAGCTTCCTGTCTATGCATATCATAATTCTAACATTATTCAATGAACTTTTATGTACAACAAATCTCACCTGCAAGTAATCTTCCTTGAGTACTTCATACATGGCTTGACAAGTTGCAGGGATTATGCGAGACAAACTTTGTCTTGATATCCTTGTTCTATACTGAAGATATATGAGCATTGCCTTTAAACGAGCCTCTGCAGATATACTCTCCCTCATATTGGTATCCTGTTTTTTTATATATGGTTCCACTTTCACTAGAAGTTTGTAAAGGTGTTGGGGTCCATTATCATGTAATTGGTGAAGTCTTGCTCATGTCCATCTTGCAGTTCACGTAAAATCGACCTAACCACTCTTTGCACCATTCCCTTTTCTGCATTTGGTTCTTCTTTTTGCACATAGCAATTATTATAGTACACAATGCTATGCTCTTCGCTTTAACTGTCCAGCAATTATTCCTGCGACACACCATGGTGATCGTACCGCACCCGCCACTGCCGACCACCTTCTAGCTACTGGCGCCCTACTATGACTACCGCCAACCACCCCCATGTGTACAACAACACACAGGCTTTGCCCGGTAAACGAGCAAAGCCCGCCGGGCACTGCTCGATCGTGTGGATGGGACTTTAGCGAGTGTACAAGGCTGTGCTATATATTTGGGGGATTTATGTTAGAGTCTACAGCCAATTTCTTTACTACAATAGGAGAGCTGATGTAGTTGCTAGAGGATTTTCTGGCTACAACACCCGCCAATGCCTAGCTCTGTTGCCTTACGTGGCCGCAGACCTTAAAGATGTTGTTGGAGCGACTGTTTTCCTCGGAGCCAATGATGCAAGTGAACCTGTAAACACACAGCAGTTTGTACCTCTGCAGGAATATGTCCAGAACCTGAAGGATATTGTTGCACACTTCCAGGTAAAGTATGTGATGAAAAGTAAGAGATATTACTGTACGTTTTAGTTTTGTCATTAGAAATATAAGTTATTGTCTTACATTTCCAGTTATGTAGTGAGAAATGATAAGTTTTACATTTCCTGTAATTAAAATTTGCAGGTGTTTGACTATAAATATTTTATCCTTTAGTACATTTCGAAATACTTTGTGGAATTTAGTAATATAAGTGACTGAAATTGTGTTTATAATAACTTACTGAAATGTGTAGTAAATGAAAACACTGTCTCCTGCAGTCTCTCTTGTCAGGTTCTTAGCATTTCTTACCCCGTGGTTCTCCTCCCCTCCACATTAATGCCCTGAGTTTTAAACACCCGTTTCCGCTGAAGAGTACTGTACTGCGGTGTCCTTCTGGACTCAATTTTTTTTTTAAAACTAGGGTTGAAACACGATGACCCTCTTCAGCAGAAGAGGATGTTTAAAACTCAGGGTGTCAGGCTCTTGACCTAATCAATAGCATATATTAAATACTTATCATCCTTGACAGAAAGCTGGAATAGATCCTGTTGTGATAACTCCACCGGCCCTAGATGGTAAAGCTTGGCACGAGAACTGTAAGGAAAGAGATCGCTTGTACACAAAGGATGAGGAACTCACTGCTATGTACGCACAGGCTTGTTCTCACACCGCAATTGAGCTGAAAGTTCCATGTATTGACCTTCATACTGCCATGATGGTCGAGGTGAGCTGATACTGTCTTGAAGCAAGATTAAAATGATACTGTATTGTACCAGGAATCAGTCATATTGCAAGAATCGGTTCTAGGACATTTTGTAACTGGCTCGGTATAAGTACTGGTAAACCTAACCTGTCTTGACCTACCTATCTTAACCTAACATAATCTAACTTAAACTATCTAAACATAACATAACCAATGGCTTCATCACCTCCAAAGTAAAGATATTATTAACTAAATTTAATAAATATAACCTGGTATTCAATAGACAGGTGATGAAATGTCGGCCCACCCCTATTATCCAGCATATATTTTTCTTCATAACTTAGTACAGGTTGGACCCCGCTAATCCGAGACCCGCCAGTCTGGCAGCTTCGATGGTTCGGGATGTCAAGTATAGCTCACTTCTAGTGGCTGTTGCCACTATTTTACCTTTAAATACTTATAATTTACCCCTAAATATGCCTCCTAAGAGACCAGCAAGCAGTGGAAATGGTTGTAATGTGACAAAACGTAAGAATTTGACATTAACTATTTTAGGAGAAATTAGACAATAATACCTGTAGTCCATTTTATGCATTAGTTTGCCTTTTATAACCTCGGCATTGATGGTTTGTAATTTTCACTAATTTGGAACTGGTCTGGTCCCAAGCTTCCTGGATTAGCGAGGTCCAACTTGTAGATGATTTATATTTATTTTTATGATGTTTTCCTGAACTGTTTAAGATACCTTGGAGCAGCCATGTGTCATATAATGATGCAGTGTATCAACAGCAGTGATACCGGTAATTCTTAATTTCGTTTCATATTGAGAGTTTCTGGTGATAAAATGTAACATTCTGTTTGTTTTATTGCGTCCAGCTAGACTTTGTTTTGTGGGTTTGAAGCCATTACTTATAACTCTCCAAGATGATACTGTCACTGTTGTTGGGGTATATTCATATTTAACATTTTTATTGCTAAAGTGCATTATTTTTCGTTTATTTACCTTACATTGAAATTGATAACCAACGTCTCTGATCACTTGTTTTAGATTGTAGAAATTCCTCTTACAACCATAATAAAAAATAAAGAATTCCATCTATTAAGAATTTTCATTTTCTTTTAGCACTTTATCGCAATAAAGAAACGGGAGTAAATAAACAGTTAACATGAATGAGTTTAAATGTGGAACTTTAATAACTTTGTATATTAAATGTGGGAATTATATGACTTTGAATGAATTTAAAGGTAACCGTAGTATTAAAGAGTATCAATTTAATTAAATAGCTAATCATAACAATAATACTGTACAGGGCATTTGTGCAGAAAACATTAGAGAAGAAAAGTGTCTTAGAATTCTCTTAACTATTGATTGTAACGATAAAATTCTTGGATATTCAGTTGGTGCCAATAATAATAATATCATCATCATCATCATTATTTTTATTATTATTATTATTATTATTATTATTATGTGGTTAAATCAGAACGGAATTATATTAAATAAATTAAACTTAGCTTCGAAAATTTTAGTAACAAAATGTTCACATAATGAAAATTTAGTCAATTCTTGGTAAGTGAATTTTACATTACAGATTACAGCACCTGTATTAGCAAAAATTATAAAAATACAGTAAATGAATTTCAGTATTATTAGGAACCCCGAGTACAGAAAATTGAATTGGTTAGGTTAGATTAGCTTTGGTCAGGTTAGATTAGGTTTGGTTAGTTTAGTTTAGTTTAGAATAAGTTATGTTTGGTCACAACAAGTTAAGTTAGATTTGGTTAGGTTATGTTAGATTAGGCTAAGTTAAGATTTGGTTCGGTTAGATTACGTTGAGGTAAGATTTAGTTAGGTTGTGGTAGATTAGGTAAAGTAACAGTACTAAATGGAGGTAGAATGTTCGCCCATTTGTAATGACTAATTTTATACACATGCATGGACATATTTATTGAATAAACTGATATATCAGGTCATGTCTTGCTTTCTGAATGGACAAGCCCAGTTGAGTCAAGAGATGCATGAGTGAATATGGTCATAGTACTGTACTTTGAGAAAAAATCAGAAGAGATAATTAAAGGTGGGGTATTTACACAATCTGGTTATAGAGAGATAGAATGATGGGATATATTTGAGTAAGTACAATAAAATAAGATGCAGGAGATTGAAGATAAGAGCAAGAGAGAGCAATGACACTGGTGAAAGTGTTAGTCTGTGAAAAACTTACAGGGATATTGATTGCTGTGTGGAGTGTGTCTTTGTAAGGATTTTCCATTTGAATAACATAAATGCAATGTAGAATTCTGACTTCAATATAACCATTTCCCTCAGGAGAACTGGCAGGGTCTCCTCAGCGATGGTCTCCACCTCTCTTGCAGGGGATCAGAGCTACTGGCATCCCTGTTAGTGCCAGTGCTGGAGAAACACGTCAACAACCTCCCCTCAGAACTCCTGCTGCCTCTCTGGGATGAACTTGATGCTAAAAATCCCAGCGACTCTTTTGTTGAATGGTGTAAGAAAAATGGAGGTAAATTTTCTTAATATTTGCCCAAGTTGGTTTCAATATCTTCTAATGTCACCAAGAATTACATCGTATTTTGTGAACTACTTTTTTACTAATATATAAACTTAAATTAACCCCTTGTGTAAGGGGTCGCCACTGAGCTGAATAAGATAATAAAAGTGGTGTCCCCATAGTGAAGGTGTTAAAGTCATTCTGTATTCTCTATGTATAGTAGTTGATGCTGTCTTCCATGATAGCTCATCACACAACAGTTGGTGATGGTTGTGTGTGTCCTGCTGCTTCCTCTTAAAAGTATTATATTGTAAGTCAATATTGAGAGGAGGATAACGAGATGTTTCCAGTGATATAATCTTAATCTTTGGTAACAATTATATCTCAGTGTGAGCCTAATTTTGTTGTATTATATAATGTATGGTCAGTCACAGGACTACTTCTCTACTGTATTTTCCCGGCACACATGGTACCGACTCAAATCAACATTCCTCGTAGGCCAAGCGCTATCAAGTCTCAGTCTCTATGCTTTAAAAAAATACAATTATTAAAACCATATATTGTACAATTATTTTCATCTTGATAACATTTTTCTTTTCTTTATCCTAAATCATAATGGTTTCTGTCATATTGGAATTTTTCATTAGCCTAAAATGTCACAGGAGAGAGATGGGATGAGGAGAGTAATACCTTCTGGTACAACTTATCTCTTTATTCTCAAATCAGATTACAAATTATATACAGTTGTTTTTTCGTTATTGAAGATGGTTATATTATTTATGATTCTGTACAATATCCATCTAATGAACACTGAAATTGCAAAATACTTGACAAACCTCAGCAGGATAATGAAGGTTTATATATAACTTATAGCATTAATCTGTTCTGGACTCTTCACTTTCACCGAGACCTTCATTATCATCAGTTTTGTATTCTATAACTACCTCTTTTCTTTTCTCTATCTCCTCCTGTACCTTCTGGGATGCTTCAATATGCTGGGTGTGTGTTTGAAGGTACTGCATCTCCAGAGCCAAGTTTTGTTTTGTATCATTTTCCAACTGAGAGGAAATAAATTAAAATTAGTGATTTATACTGTAGTAATGATAAGAACTGGTTTGTACTAAAAATGATAGTAGTTTTAAAACTGACAGGAGTATGATTACAGGTATAAATATCGAGAAAACTAGAAAATGAATAAAGGTAAACTTCAATATGACAGTACAGTATACACCATTATGATCTACTGGTGGTGTCAACTAGACATGCCTGCAGGACCTAAGGCAAAGAAAATGACATGTTCTCGTAAACAAATTATAAGTACTGTACTGTTAACCACAAGGAAACATGAATTCACCCCTGAAGATGTGAATTACACGAAAGCGCTTGGGAACTTCGTGTTTCCTTGTGGTTATCAGCATATACTTGGATCACATATACCTAAAGTGATTTACTTGCATATATATATAGTGGCATAACTTGACAACTTCATGTTCTTAGCCTACATATCTATAACGTGACCTAAGTGTGTACAGTATAACAGATAAAAACAACCTTTACATTACTGTACCTCTAATTTGGCACTGTCAATCGCCTGTTGTGCTGCTGATGCTGTGAACTCCACACCACTAATAAATGCTGCCATGGCCGCGTTCTCTAGTGTAGTGAACACGTAATTTACCAAGATGTTCAAGTCCTGTTGAGTGAAGATTACAAACTGTACTGCTCTGTACTGTAAATTGTATCAACAATCATCTGCTTACCTTTCAAAAACGTTTAATCCTGTGTAGTAAAGGTTAAAGAAATTTTCAAAAATATAATATTTGTTGATAACTAGTGTATCTTTTCTTTACTGTGTGTGTAAGGGCTGTAACTAGCGGGTAGGTTGTCTGCCGCTCGTTCACTGCCCCATTCTGTTGGGGGGGGGAGACAGGTGAGAAGGCCGCTGCTGCCTCATTGCCGGTCAGACACGACCCAGCCTTCACCACAGCTGTTACTTTATCCTGCTGTTCTATTCCTTCTCTGGTTTTGTGCACACCGGAGGTTCTTGGGGTGATTCCCCGGTCCTTCATTATTCGACTGTCAACCCCAATCACCTACTCCAGCTACTGCCACGTGATCACCACTTCCACCACACCCTATCCACCATCCGTGCTCTGGCGTCTCTCTTGTGTGGCAGGACATTGCCCACCAATGCCAAGTGAGGAAGCTGCCCTGGACCTTCCCCCTGAGAGAGGACGCCTGCAAGTTCGACTGCTTCACTCAGACTTCGCCCCGATGAGGGGCGAATCACCGCGTTACTAGAACATTCTACAGTGCTGGTTAGAAGGAAGATTCATCGACAGCCGTAGGAAGTACTGTACTTTGTTTTATTGATTATCCTTTGTTTTAGTAATTGTGTTTGACTCCAGTGCTGTTTATTTAATGTTTGTGGGAATGGTGACAGGGTTAAACTTTGGTGATTAATTCTTAGTAAAGAGAAGGCCTCTCTAACTTTTGTTTATTACCCCTTGGAAACCCAAGGTTCTTGACCTTCCTTTGATAAGATCCTGATAAGGCTGGTAAGGTATTTATATCCTACAGGCCAGGCCTTTACAATGTGTGTGGCTGGAGAGGAAGACCATGGACAAAATCTCAAGGGTTTCAAAGCCAGCTGTTACTCTTTCAGTCCTAAGCTCATTCTATTTTTGCATAACCCAGCCTAAAGTTTAAAGGTAAAAAAATACAAAGGTATTACAGCAAACATGCATAATTATTTATTATATAATAAACAAAGCAAGTGTAAAATTGTAAACCTTTCATACGATAAATATTTTGAGGATTCAGTTATGGTGAATCAACTTTTTCTCGTCTTTTTTTTCTTATGCACATGAGGGGCCCTCATGTGCATTGAGGGCGTATATTATAGAATTAACCCACCTAGCAACTGTTAAGTAGCTTGAATCAATCCCTTTGCTATATAGGACAGGTGATCTGATCCACTGTAAACACCTCTTAATGTCATTGAATGCTGTCACTCACTCTCACAGACACAGAAATGAAAGAAATCTATCATGATCTTGTTTATCAACACCTGATACACTGTAACACACTAAGGGGGCCTTTGGCTCTTCAAAAACACAATCCCTGGTTGCTCCACAAAAGAGAGTTGTACGGACAATGACCTTGAAAAAACAGATCACACAAACAAAAAAGTGCTAAATTGAAAATTTTAAAATCCGAAGATATTAACACCTACTGCTGTGCCCTCTTTGTTTACATATATATCAATCACTTGCTTGACAATAATTATTTCCAGTTCTAGAATAATAAGAGAAACAACTTAAGGCACCCAGAGCTACTAAGACCATCCCCCATGCACTCCTCTCGGTCCCAGACCTCCATAAAATATCACGGTGTGAAGGTGTGGAACAACTTAAACCACCCATTCGAGCAAAGACTAAGCTCCCTTCCTTTAAATCATCTCTTCAAAAATATCTATTGTCTAAGTATTAATATTTCTTGTAATACCTACTATATTTACAGTAACTGCTTTTATTGTACCCTCAAAACCGTTTTATTGGAAATTATCATGTAAATACCCAGTAGATAAGAAATTACCATTGCAATAAATATATTTGCCAACTAGAAATAGTCCTGACAGCTCTGTCCTCTTGCTCAACCTTAATACTGTACAACCCATGTTGTACTGCTCCCCCGTTATACTTATGTTTTTCAATTCCACTGTAATTTATGTATACAGTATACTTATAATATAAATAAAAAAAAATAAAATAAATATTGAAGTGATAACTGTGGTAACATTATGAGATGTTTTTATTACTACCATGCTATTGTACTATTCCAGATGTTACTAAATGTTACATAATACTTCTTTGAGATAAATGTATAGTATATATCAAGTGCCTACAGGAGAGCTCAGGTTCTCAACTGGCTCAGCCATGTTAATATTGTTATTATTATCCGCTCTGTATCTGTATTTTTCTCGCTAAATAAACTGATTCAATTCAATATAACAACCTATCAATCTTTCTAAGAGATCAATAAGTTCTGTGGTATTACAAATCCCTTTAAGTGTGTTTCAGTATACTACAGTATTCTTGCCATAATATGTATATTTGGGATCAAAAGTTCACTCTCACCCAAACTGAACCAGTTTGGACCTCACATCCACACCAGGTCAGGGTAAGTAAGTTTGAAGAGACTCATTGCCATGACTAAGTTTCACTGCTGGGGGTGGGGTGGAGAACTTTTGAATGTGGCTATAACAAACTCTCCAACCTCATACTAGTGGGAAGTAGACTAAATCATACAGTATCACTTTTATCAATACAGGGGCCTTTAATTAGTTGTATGGTAGTTTACCTTGAGTTGATCTTTTAAGGACTCCATCTTAACCCTTGAAATAACGAGGCTTTCCCAGATGGCATCGTGCCGCTCCTGATTGTGTAATGATGAAGTGCAGTACTCCAGGAGGTCAATCACATCATTGAGCTGTTTTCTGTGTAATGTATTATGAGATTATTTTATATATATGAAAGATAATGAGTTCTTAGGTTAATGTCTTATGTTTGCCTGTCTGTCCATCTACCTATCAGTAAGGCGTATTACATTCCAAAGTAAATAAGGGAAAAACATATGCTGTACATTAAAAGTTTAAATGTTTAATAATTAAATTGATCCTGAAATACCACTTCATAAGTGTGTCTAATCCCTAACAACGAAAGTCCATTAACAAAGAAACTGAAAGGAATCTGACTTAAGTAACCTATTGTATGCTGGGAAATGTTTCGAAAGGAATGGGTATTATCAGTAACAAATCTCTAACCTAAAATATCTCTGTTTCATTCACATTATTCTTAACTGACCTGTAATGTGTAGAGAAATCCAGCCTGGCTCGGAGGACTCGGTGTAGCAGCTGGAGTGATGCATCCACAGTCACCCCACTTGCCTGCCGCAGGAGTGAGGTGTGTGTGAGGGCTGCTGCTTCATTCATCTGGTGAGCAACTTACAGCAACTTTATCATACATTTCATAAACTTACAGCAGTTTTTGTATTATGTTTGGTGAATTTTGTCTTGGTTGGCATTTTATATGTAAACAGTCTTATCAAACTTATGAATACTTGCCACCAACCAATATTTATGATAAATAAGTTAACTAACCAAACCCTACCTAACCTAACCTAACCTAACCAATCAAATCTTGCCTAATCTAACATATCTATCCTAGGATGGAAGTATATTATTTGGTAAAGATTCTTTGTATGCCATGACTGATGTAGGTTTTTGTTGCTGTTCATTGTGATTTAAATGAATATGACCTTTATTTCTGTCACTAGTTTATATTTAAGGAAATACAACCATGATTTGCACAAAGAATATGCAAAAGAAATTGTCGTTGCGAGTGTTAAAGGGGTTATATCCCCCAAAATAATCATAGTGCTGAAAGTAAAGGTCACATTCGTTCAAATAACCATTAAAAACATATTTCCTTTGTTAGGTTAGCTTAGAAAGACATAAATTCTTACCTCAAGTGGTTTGACAGTAGATAACCTGATGTCTTCTTCATCTATATCCTCCATTAATACGTCCTGACAATCAACTGGTAATAAGCTGTAATAAGAAACACCAAAAACGCCTCCACAACCTATGAGAGCCAAAGCTGTTCGTCTCACAAAGCTTAATTGCATCGGCTTGAACGGCTTATTTACCAAACGTTCTCTCCATAACTGAGACTTTGATTCACTCTTATTTATGGACATTCCATTAAAATGTCTATTGAAACATCGTCTCGTTAAATTTGGAGGTTGAAGTCCCCCTGAAGATGGAATAAACCGTGATAAAGCTGCCAAGGTTCTCCCCAGGCACCCAGCACCTGCCATGTTGTTGACACTCGTGACGTCACACCGGCCAAGGAAGGAAGCTCTGTTACTTTAATTTGCTTTATCTTTCAGTGACACTGTTTGGTATAGCGTTGACTGACATAACTAAGGCAGTATTCATAGAAAAAAAGATGTATTTATAACCTAGTATTCATATATTTATTTATACTTCATTTATTCATTCAGGAAAAAACTAACCTCATTTGTAAAACATTATTCATTCCAAAATGACTGTAGAGGTATAAAGGTAAACAAGAATGTTATAATGCATTTTATTATATAAAGTAACAATAACAAGTAATACAGAAAGGGCTGATTTACCATAACAATCTTATCTATGTACCTAACCTACCATCATTCATCATATATAAATTTTGTTCTCAATGTGTACAAATCATGTATTGTCAGTTAAAAAGTGACTTATCCTTAAGAAAGCGATGGAATGTTAAATGTCTGTGGCTTTTCTTGCCCTTCCTGCAAACAACACAACCACGTGGAGTCATTTGTCACACTGAACTAACCTTGAATGACCAGCAGATGACGTCAGGTACCACACCACAGTCAGCTGGAGGTGACGGTATGGGGAGTCCACTCTACCTACCTTGGTGTCACAGGGAACCAACTATCACCAGCAGAGAGACTGAGGCAGAGTGTCACCTTCCACCAGTTCACTGTAAGGTCACTGAGGCCACAACTCATCCTTGCACAAGAGGTATGTCAGATTTTCTTCTTCAAAATACAGGACACCATTTTTTTTAGTGGGGAATAAATATATAATTATAATTGTTAACTTTTATTGGGATTTAAAGTAAAATATAAAGCCATGAAAATAGTTATTCTTAATTTCTAATATTATATTTGGGTGTGGATCATGGTGTGATACTCTGGCTAGGAGACATCTCCAGTGTGGGCTGGTGTACAACTCTTATAATAAAGAGTATTACAGTGTAAAGCCTGGGATCATAACTTTGTTCACAATTCAACGTATCAGGACCACTAAGATTCGGGGTCAATCTGCACTTCCACCTCCCACTGTTAGAAAGTCATAAATATATTTTCTAGTGTATTTGTGTGTGTTTAGACCGAATATGACCTTCATTTATGGCGGAAATTGGCCGTTTTTTTATCGATTTTTTTTTCGTGGGACGTTTTTCGAAAAAAAATGGCTAAGCGAATAAAATATACACCAAAACACACTAGAAAAACAAAAACCAAACCTAACCTAACCTAACCTAACAGACTCTCACCATATGATGGAATCACCTATTTCTTACCTTATTGGGCTGGTTCTAGTTTGTCGTTGGATTCTGAGATTCTTACCCAACGCCACATATGTTGGTCTTTGCGATATTTACATTCAGTCTTGCACTTAGAACACTTTACTGAGGTTGAAAGAACACCATGCGATCAAAAAAATGCTATAGTTTCTTTTTTTTCCCAAAAGCTCGCAATCAGCTCCATCTAATTGAAGTGACACCCATCGCAGACTTCCATGGTGGGAAATGAATTTGAATTTGGAAATATGAGAGACCCAAAATAAAAATCTATTTTGATTGGGCCAAAAATACTGCGAATTAAACCACAAATCATTTTAATTGGTTGCAAAAAAACGCTTTTGATTGGTCGCATGACGTGTACGGGAACGCATGTGCATGATGTTTTATGAAGAGACATGCAGTGTGGGAGGTGAGGTAGGCGATAATGGCGGAAGATTAGTAGAAGAAAATACAGAAAACTTTGGATACGCTATCTCCGTTATTATACATTTGCGATGGTAATGTAATAGATGAAAATTATCTTATAATTAGACGTCTTAATCGAATATGATAATAGAATAGGGGAAGGAATGTTGGGTGCGGAAATACAATAATACCTGAATAATAATGAACCTAATAGAAGCTAACCTAACCAACCAAAGCAACCTACCTAACTTCCTAGACAGGGGGATAACCCTCTGTCATATTAAAGAGAAAGTACTAATATTATTTCATATCTGGTACCAATGAAAGCAACTTTGTTGAAGTGTCATGGTGTAATTTTATGTTTTTTGTGGACGTGAGAGTACGCTAGGATTGAGTGGGTAGGTTGTAAACAAACTGAGCTATCCACCACATGTACTGACTCAACATTTTTTTTATGAGTATTTACGGTAAATAATTAATTTCTTCACATACAAAGCACATGGAGACATCATTTAGTGATATATGATCAGTTTTCACTGTGTTTTACCCTGCAATTTCCCTCATCCTCCATGCCCAACCCACTACAGGTGATTTATGATTGTAGTTGTGAAAACTAAAAGGATAAATATAGGCATTATTATTCACCTGCGACAGAAATCTAAAGAATGAAAGTTAGTCAGATTGATGAGATATATTTATTGCATGTGTTTGAAATACCATATTGTATGGTTGTACAAAACTAAAAATAATACCAATGAAGGAATAATGATGGATATATGACATGCCTGGTATCATAATTCTGCAACATTTACTGTCCCTCCACCTGGACGAAACCAAATAACTCAACCAGTGTATATAGTACAGTGTACATATTAAACAGTGATCCAGAGTTGGTAAGAAAATCATCTTTATCTCTAAGAATTTTAGAGTAATTGTATTCCATCATTACAGCCTTAAAAGAAATACATAATAATCTAATAACTTAACCTAACCAAACCAACATTAGTGAGATTACAAAACAGCTGCTAAGAGACACTAAATAAATGATCGTTTATGTCTGTATACATTATAGAGTAAAGAGCCTGTAACAACAACAACTACGGCCACCACAGCCAGTATGACAGCTGTTATGTGCGTTGCTCCCCTGCTACTCACACTGGCAGCCGTGTTGTTACCTGCAAATGTTAGGAGTATGTGGTTACCGGGGAGTGCTGGTCATAACTCTTACTTCAACACTATTTACTAAACCACAGTTGACACAATACAAAAGGGTTATTTATTTTTTTAACTAAGAATATTACCAATGTAATACAAACTCCACAACAATGTCAGCACCAACATTCACATGTCGGTACCAGACTATATGCACATTTATCAGAGTGAGTACTCACCACAGACACTGTTGGGGAGGGGAGTGATAGTCCAGTTACCGGAGCAGTGACAGTTCCACTTGTGACACTGGAGAGTGAGTGTGTCTTGTACCGGGTAGCTGACACCGTCCTTCCAGCACACACGCTCCGCTTGTTCTGTAACAAAAAAATCCACTAAATACACCGAAAATCACAACCGAATATTAAGACAAGCTTATTAAAACTGTCACAAGTTGTATGTTGTAAGATGCAACTCCTGAACCCGGTAATAATAACTATGGCTGCTGGTGACCCTAAATTTAAGATAAAAAACAACAGGATTCATCAGTTCTCATTATTTGACCTTTGACACCTCCAGTGTAAACAATAGGGCTGTTTCTAGGAAACTGTAAGTACAGTAAGGCCCAGGGGGGTAACAACACACCTGGAGGCGACTGTACATCATCCTTCTGTGGTGAACTCCTCTACCAGCCACATCTAAATCACACACAAAACCCTACAATACAAAGATATCATATATATTTGGTTTTGAAAATATAACCCAATAATCAGTGAGAATCTAAGATATGTTCGTCAAGTGTGGTGTCTTTCTGCCTCATTTACACACAATTGCAGGGTCTTAATTGTCTCTCTTGCTGTTGACAACACACCATATACAGTATTGTATAACCTTTCTCACTCTTGATCTGTTCTATTCTTTCTATCCTTTTATTCTCCTATGATATCAGTTGACAATAATATCAAAGCGGGCCCTTCTCGGATGGGTCCCACTGGTCGGGAAGGTTGTGGACCCCAGGGCCGACCTGATCATCATCAAACTACTGGGGCCTCAACTGACGTTACCATGGTTGTTGGAGGATTGGCTTTTTTCACACTTCATTTTCCAACATTTGCGGCCTGAGATCCATTTTTTCTTTTGTGGAGCACCATCTATTAACCTCTTCCCCCGACCTCTTACTACTATCTGAACTTCAACTGACCAAAGCAGCATCACCCAAACCTTTTCAAGTCTCCAACTACAACCTTTATACCTCTTTCCATTCTAAGGGAGGTATATGCGCCTCCTGCAACACACGTACACCTATAGCTTGACTCATGAATCTTGAATCTTCATTTTATGATGTCATCTGGCTCAAAATATCTCTACCAACTATGACTATTTTTCTTTGCTTCCTATACTGTTCTCCCAACTCTACCAACTATTTCGAACTCTTTGACTCTCTCACTTCTTGCCATGAGTCGTTGCTATCCACACACCCCAATACTGAGATCCTTTACCTCGGGATTTCACAGAAAGTGGCTTGGCTCTGAAAGGAGATGACCCAAGGGGAGCTGAGGCACTCTCTTTTTCCCTACTTAATGATCTGGAACAAATAATTAAACACCCTACATGTGTTCCAGATCGACACGATCAACTTACTAACATTCTTGATTTTTGTTTTACCTCTAACCCCTCACACTATTCATACTCAATTTCTGCCCCCTTAGGGTCTTCTGATCACAATCTTATTTCTATTAGTCAAACTGGGCATGACCACCTCCCCCATCCCCCTCTAAACGTCAACTATGGCACTATCGGAGGGCAAACTGGCAATCCTTGCGAGAATTCTTCTCCGACTTTCCTTGGGATGAATGTTGCTTTTCCACTTGGGACGCCTCGGTACGTGCTGACAGCATTGCTGGGGTTATACAGAGTGGTATGAGTGTATTTATCCCATCTACCAAAACTTTCACTTTACAATCATGGTTTGATCGCTCTTGCTCTCTTGCATGCAGGTTTTCTGGTACTTATTTTCACGGTGCAGAATAATGTAATCTTTTTCTTTTCTATTCATAATTTTTTTACTCTTATTTTTCACCCCCTAGGCCCCATTGTGGGTCGATGACCTGTGCCCGGGTGGGCTATTCCCCATAACAAAAAGTGACGTACAGTATGTTAGTGACCATTGGGTATCCATTGTAAATACATCTGTGCCTTACAAAGTTCCTGTAGTAGGAACTGACTTACCTTGAATCATAGAAGCAGTGTTTGTCTGGTGCATTTTATTGGCGATGTCTAGAGCTGAGTTGTCTGTGGGATGAAGGTACACACATAATGTAGTTTGGTAAAAATTATTTGATATTTACAGCATAGTAAATTAACATGTATCTGTATATGGCTGATGAGAATACAGTAATTACTTAATGTCAAATTTTATATACTGTATTGTATAAAGACATAGGATGAATAACAGCACCAACGTATGGATAAACAGCAACATATGTACAGGTTGTACCTCTAGTCCAGCATTCTGTGGTCCGGAAATTCCCGTGGTTTGGAACGATTTTAGTTTGCCCAATAGCCAACATCCCTGATGTGACTCAAATGTAATTTTAGTTACAGTACCATCACTTCACATTGGAAGCAGAATTATGGTAGCATTAAAGGTAAATTAAATAGTATTTTAACCGTATTACTTTTTCTTATTTACTGTATTTATTTCCTATCTTATGTTTTTATGCTTTATGTAGGGTGTTTCGGGGGTGAATTTCCATGGTCCGGCACCGGTCAGGCCCCGAGGTTGCCGGACTAGAGAGGTTCAACCTGTATTTGGTAACGATTCGACAGTACCTCTTGCCATCATCAGACCTAAAACATGAAATAAAATACAATAACATCAATATTAAGTGAGGTAAGACGAGTGTTAAGTTGATGACAGTTGTGAGGTGACTTCTTTCTTGCTTACTAAGTTACTTACCAGAGTAGTCAGTTATGGAGAGGTCAGGACAGTGTTGTAACAGCTGCTCCACCACCTGATGATGACCATTCTTAGCTGCCAGGTACAGAGGCGTCCGATCTGTGTACCACCACAATACACACACACCATGATACTGACACTGACGGTCAATGTAACACTGAGTACAGTAAAATATATGTGACACTAGACCACTTCAATATTAACCTAAAGCTTATTTTACCTGATGATTAAATACTCTAATGCTATCCTAATCTTTTTAATCTAACCTAAACTAAGTACTGTAGTAGGTGTTACCATAATGTGCGGTCTACAATGATATCTTTAATCTAACCTGACCTGACCTAACTTAATGTAACCTGACCTAACCGAGCCTAACCTAACCTTACCTTACCTAAGCTAATGGAAATATCTTGTAGACCGCACACTATAGTAACACAAAGTAGTATAGTGTAAGATAAGTGACCATGCATTTCAATAACCTTATTATTCACCTAAAGGAAACATATCAAGATGCACAGACATACATATGGATAGACAGACAGACAGGCAGAGAAAATCATACAGACAGACAGAGACAAAGAGGGAAGACTTACTTTCATCATCTACGACATTGGTGTCTGCACCAGCCTCCAGGAGAAGCCTGGTACTGTTGAGTTGACCCTGAGATGCAGCAATGGTCAGTGCTGTCTCTCCTGTGTGTAGGTGATAGAGCCATTAGAGTGCTATTACAGAGTCTTTGCCTTGCTATTACAGTGCCATTACGGAGCCATTTTCGGACCACAAAGTTGTTCTCATTCAAAACACATTATTTCTCTAATTGTCATAATGATTAAAGTGAAAAATAATAAAAATAAGGTCAAATTATTATCCTTTACAGTACTTATACAAGTCTATTAACTTAAAGGTGGAGTTAAAACATTGTACTTATTATAACATAAACCTTACCATCTCCTACCCACTTATGACTTACATTAATACTCAATATATCTGCAATAGTTAGCAGCCAACATACCGTTAAGGTTTGCGTGAGTGACATCAGCATCATACTCGAGTAGAATCTTAATGATGTCATCGTGGTTTTTGAGAGTCGCCCAAGTAAGAGGTGTGTCGCCTGGTGGTGGTGAGGATAAGGTGTTTGATTTCTTATCAACATTACTTCACACACACACACACACACACATGCACAAATAGCATTAATGCCTTCCTATTTCCACACAACACTCACAAATGGCATAGATGCCTTCTTACTTCCACACCACAGTCATATACGCTTCCCAGCACCTCACCGCTAAAAGTCTCCATGTTGACGCTTGCGTTGTACTCAAGGAACAATTTAGCAATTTCAGGATGTCCCTCCCTAGCGGCGAAGGACAGCCCCGTAGAACCTTAATGGAAGAATTACAAGTGTTAATATGGTTAAGTTTTATGCAGCTGTAAGGCATCGATTCTGACAGCACTTGGCAGGGACACAGACACGTAAACAACAAAATACTGACCAAGTGCATTGTGTAGGTCAGGCAGGGCACCGTGGTCCAGCAACATTTTACACACCTCATAGTGGCCACCATACGCTGCCCACGTCAAAGCCGTCTCTGCTGTTGTAGTGACCAATATTTACATTACTTAACCCTGTCGTTATTATCCGTTCACAACAAAAATAATAATAATAAAAATGGCAAATAAAACATTACAGATTAAAACATTAAAACAACTGACCCTGTCTGTTCTGGTGGTTAAGGTCAGCTCCCCGATCCATTAGGAAATTGACCACTCGTTTGTGACCATACCTCGCTGACCACATGAGAGCTGTCCACCCTAGCCCGGAGAGAAACAAAAAACACTATACACCATCTGATACAACAATCTATTCCACAGTGATATACCCACAGCCATGTATCAGTCATACCAAAAAAAGCATCTAGACCCCAGGCCTCCCCCCAAAAAATATGAAACATTGGGTGAAAAACAATCTGATCCAACCCAGCCAATATATGAACGCGTCTGAGGTTATCGGTCATTTTCTATTATACCGGACCCTGGAGTTTTGATACTTTTTGGATTGGCTGAACAGTACTGTACATTATGGTAGAGTAATCCCTCACCGTCATTCACTTGGAAGTTTACATCAATTCCTGCATCCAAACCCCTCTTTACCTGCTGCAGAGAGCCTTCCCGGGCAGCAAACACCATCTTGTACCCTGTAAGAGCAGATCACCGGTTAATGGGAACAGTTCATGAGTTCAAATGCATCGGGAATATTATACAGTACTGATTTAGAACGTGTGTGTGTTAAGATGGACACAAAAAGTCCCTCAAATATAAAACCTGTCCAGCATTAATTTGGATGTGTGAACTTTACATCTTCCCGTCTGAATTTTATTCATGCTTAACCCTTTAGAGGGTAGGGATTAACCAGAATGAAATACCTAAGTATGCCATTGACCTCTAAAATGTTTAATAAGACTCATTTGAGAGGTTCAAAGCTGTCTTGATATTGATTCTAGGTTTAAGACACAATATATAACATCTTTTCACACACACACCTCACCTAACTTTTGCAGTCCTTGATCAAACGTCAGAACCTCAAAAGACGGCTTCACTGTACTGTACATAGTGTTCATAACCACGTGTACTGTACATACATATGTAGTGCTCACAAGCACATTTATATAACGTTCATACCCACGTGTCTATAGAGATAAAGAATGCCATAATTACTTCCAATGAAGTTGTTCTTGAACTGGACTTTGTAGAATGCGGGTTGGGCAGTGGATAAGATCACTACCATCGCCACCACTAGTACTGAGGCTCGACTCTTGCCCATCTCACTGAACCTCAACTGTGAGAAAATGAAATGATAGTGTATGATCGGTATTTTAATGGCAATGGTTTAAACACATCATTATATTATTTATCTCCAAATTTGTAATTCAAACCGAATCTAACTTAGCCTTACCTTATCTAACTTAACCTTATCATACCTGACCAAACATAGCCCAATCTAACCTAATGTAGCTTAATGTACGAGGTCTGTCCGGAAAGTATCCAGCCATTTACTATTAAAAAAAATATTGCTTACCTAGGACAATGGCATCTTAGTCCCCTTCAAGGTACTCCCCTTGGGACCTCACACACTTCTCCCAGCGTCCCTTCTTCTTTTCAAAACAGTCTGCAAAGTCCTCTTTCGGGATCTCCATCAGCTGCCTCGTCTCATTCTACCTTAATCTCGTCCACGGTCTGAAATCTCCTCCCTTTCAACGGCGATTTTAGCTTTGAGAAATGCCAGAAGTCGCAGGGAGCCAAATCTGGGCTGTATGGGGGGCTGAGAGACCTGGGTGATGCGATGTTTTGCCAAAAAACCCTGCACGAGACATGAAGAATGGGCAGGCGCGTTGTCATGATGAAGCTGTCAGTCACCACTTGCCCACAACTGTGGTGGTTTCTTCTTACCCATCCCTCAGCGGGCGAAAAACTTCAATGTAGTACTCCTTCGTTATTGTTTATCCTGGACGAGATTAAGGAAAATGCGACGAGGCAGCTGATGAAGATCCCGAAAGAGGACTTTGCAGACTGTTTTGAAAAGTGGAAGGGACGCTGGGAGAAGTGTGTGAGGTCCCAAGGGGAGTACCTTGAAGGGGATTAAGGCACCATTGTCCTACGTAAGCAATATTTTTTTAATAGTAAATGGCTGGATACTTTCCGGACAGACCTCGTAACTTACCCTAACATAGCCTAACCTTGCCTAACTTAACCTTTCCTACTCTAGCTTAACTTAGACCAACTGAACCTATGCTAACTTAACCTAACCTAAGTTACTCTAGCCTAATTTAACCTTGGTCAATTTAACCTTGGCTAATTAAACCGAGCCTTACCTCACACACTATAACATAACCTTAACGCAGGGAAGCTAAACCATTCTTACCTATGGTTACATAATCTAATTTAAGCTTGTCAAAACTTAACAATTTTAACCCGTGTGGTGTGTATAGAGGGTGGGTAGTGTTCCCCTTGTGTTGTACCAGGGTGAGTGTACTGAGTGATAGTCCTCCCACTGATAACACCCCCCACACGCACACACACGGGCTTAATAGTCAACTTACGTTTTTGTCATATGAACTAAGTTTGCTGTATCTTTATAAAAATAAGTTATAATATGGTAAAATTTGCTCTTTCATTTATGATGGCAGTTACTATCATACAATAACCATTAGGGTAATTATTTTAGTAGTTTTGGTTATGTTAATAACAATTGCTATTCATTTATAGTTTGTGGCAAAGATGATAAAACTAAAAAGTAAAAGTATTAGGAGTCCAGACGTACACACACTAACACTGTACTGGTGTGTGGTCAACACACACTGTATTGGTGTCTGGTCAGTACACACACTAACACTGTACTGGTGTGTGGTCAACACACACTAACACTGTACTGGTGTGTGGTCAACACACACTGTATTGGTGTCTGGTCAGTACACACACTAACACTGTACTGGCACGTAAACTAACAGACCCCATTATGACAAACAACACACACATATACATCCAGTTCAGTTTGTCACTTATTAATCATAACATTCAAGAACATTCATCTGGTTGTAGAGGCAAGCAAAAGTATTTGCAAATTCGAAAATATCATTCAACTAAAATACCTTGAATGAAACAACACAAACTCCTTGTTTTCAAATAAAAATCTTGATAATAAATTCTGAAATGTTTTTGACAAAAGAAATAATGAAAATTATTGGTAGAAAATAATAAGTGATAGAAACATATGAAGAAAAACTATGTCAGGGAAATGCACCAGTAAAGACAATATAAGACAACAGGAAAACATTAACATTATTACAGAAAAAAGACACCAAACAATTAACATAAACCTACAGTAAAAAAGTGAGAATAGGTCCCATAGGCATGATTGTCTGTTAGGAACAATGTGGATACAGCACACTGTATACCAAACCTTCGGTGCACAAGGCAGCTGTTCTCGATTGCATTCATGTCCCCAAGTTGTAAACTTAGGTGCCCATTTACAGCTGGGAAAACTGAGAGTACCTGAACCACTGATCCTTGGAACAGGAGGCAAGAGCTATATCCACTTGACCACCACAATACTAAACTTACAGTACCATAACATTAATTCATTGTTTAATTCCTCCACTTATCAGCTCACTAGCCATTCTGCTAGTTGGTCTGTTCTTTTCCTATAAATTATATTGTCCAGTGTTACTCACAACTAACCTTGGTTCAAATATGTACTGTATAGCATGGAGGTAATCTATGACTTTTAATCTATATACTGTACTGGGTATATGGTACAGTAGTTCATTGTTGGGTTAGGGATTTTGTATGCTCTGTTTAGGGAATATCTGAGCACTTTGGGGTAACATGTCATTTATTGGTTTATGTATCTTAATTTTCAACAAAATAAACAAATTGGTGATGCCCTGCATTTTGTTCTTAATAATTTTTGCATATAAAGCTCAGACTTGATTTTTTATTTATTTTGTAATTAACTAAACTTGTTAATTGCATTTTTGTTCATTTTTAATTTTCCTTCAATCATGCTCACTTTGCCTAATGTTCAGGCTTAAAGGGTGACATCTGTGACCTTTACCTCGAGTGTACAGTGCAGTATTGCCGTAGATGTTACCACTTTAGAAACAACTTATGAGACGTGCAATTCCAGAGACATATGGGCATCAACCCATCTTACATATATAGTAGCGTAGGTACTTTGTTTGTCAAAGGATCACTGGTAATACATAAAAAGATAAATGTTTTATATTAAATTTATTTGCTTATACCACTAGATAAAAAACATTAATTAAAATATACGCACAATAGCCAACCCTCTTTTACAATATTATAATTTACAGCACAACAGAGTTTTTTACCCTGAGTGAGTTACTTTGCATCTATGAACCTAATACTTGACAGCAACACTACAGACCACAACTTTGCGAATGACAAATTTCATGGTATCTATCCCACTCTTTTCTGCTTCTAATACAAAATTGAATTACAAGAAAAATCCTATTTCACCTTAGCTTTTGTAAGTACTTGTATTAAAAATCTGTAAAAGTGTTAGATTATGATTCATGACGGTAATTATGTACTTATTATAAAAAGGTTATGTACTGCATATCATTTAAAAATGTAGAAATACAGTTTCCTGAGAATTTCTTTCATCAAAAATTACAATGGTATTTTGTCAACATTTAAGATACTACCTGTACTGTACTGTACTGTATTTGTAAATATCCACCAGATTAATAAATTTTTGGTTCTTTTAGAAGTCAGATTTAGTGCTTGGATTCATATATTTCTGTGATTATGAAATCAGTATTAATGCTGCTTCTGAACTATTGATACATTCACTATTAAGAAATAAATTAATGAATAATAATATGCAGTATTAGCAAAACAGATGGATGCATGTACAGTATGTATAATGCTTAAAGTGTCATTCATTCTGATGTAATGTGTATAATTTTAAGTGCACTAAGTCATTTTACTTGTAATTTCAATAAACTTTGTTAATACTTACTGACAGGTATACAGTAACAGTTTTAACTACAGATTACGTCACAGTTGCGGAAATGTGTTCCTACACCCCATCTCCAAACGGCAACATCGTAGTAGTAATATCACTATTTGTGAATGAATGGGTATTAGTAGTGTAACGAAGGACATGATTGGTGGATAGGTTTGATATAGGTTGGCTGTTTGGAGATATGGGTTACCACAGGGGTGTAGGAATACATTTCTGCAACTGTACATCCGGTGTAAAAGTAGAGTACGTTGCTGTAATACTGTACTAGATTTGTTTTCATAATACAGTACTGTACTGTATTTGACTTGTAATTTAGAGAAGCTGCTCTGGTCAGTGTAACTTTGAAGTTCTGCATGTGTTCCTCATGTATTCTCCATCCAACTGTAACTTCATGTTCATCTTCTGTATGTATTCTTCATCCAGCTGTATTATTTATCACTGAGAGAGTTGCTTTGCTTTTTCGACGACTTCCTCAATGTCTCCAACCATGTAGAATGCTGCCTCAGGAAGGTGGTCATATTTTCCAGACAAAATGTCCCCGAAACTCTGGAAATCAATGAGAAGTCGAGTCATAATGAAAACAAACTCTTATACATTAAATGTAACTATATCATATCCATTTATCCATGATAGACCAACACATTATAGACAATGATTCTGTATTTTTAAATACCAGAAGTCATAGGATTCTGCATACTGTATCTCCAAAGGAACCTTCCCTGATTGCATGCAGACACAAGAATATTTCTAAGATGGGAGAAAGTAAATCACACCCTCATAAACCACCTCTGACTCTTGTCAATAACCTCTTTTGCCTGATCAGATTCATACACTTGGGCATCAGGAATGTGAGAAGCTTAGGACCAAGAGACTTTTGGAAAGGCAACTGAAAGCTATGCTGCCTATAACCAGCCGCAGGTCCACGGAGTGGAGGGAACCGCCACTGTGTGTTTAGTGGTCTGTAGGCCAGGATGACCTTTTTACCAAGGTAGGCAAGGACTTGATGGTCCTCATGTTGAGGCAAAGTAAAATGTACATAGGTACTGTCTCGTTCAAGAATCTTCTAACACTGCTGGAGACAGCTGGCAACTCGAGGCCAATTGCTTACTAAAGTACGTAGTAAAAATTGTGAATGAAGTAAAAGTAATATGTGATTGGTTACTTAGTTCCCCGTTGCTTAATTAATGGTTTGGGCTTTGTTGTTTCGTATTATATTATACTACAGTAAACAAACGGCCTGAGTTGCCAGCTGTCTCCAGCAGTGTTCGAAGAATCTTGAACGAGACAGTACATAGGGAATTATGACCCTGCTTTGCCAGCTAAGAGGGTGCATAGAAGTCCTACATATAATCACCATTCCTACTCTATGAAAGTAGATTAGCAATTGGAAGGGCATCCACCCATAAAATGCCTCATACCTGCCTGATGGTAACTGGGATGCCATACCATCAGGTAATCATGGCTAACCCTGACAAACATAGAAAAGGGCTGAAAAATGGTGATTATGATTAGTCAGAACTTTAATTGAAGCTGGGTTTTTTTTTGTACCTTAATTGTGTTTTCAAGGGAGACGAACTTTCCTTCATAGCCTGTAAAAACTTCTGCAACCTGGAATGGCTGTGACATAAACTTCTGAACTTTGCGGGCTCTTGATACTGTTAGTTTGTCTTCCTCAGACAGTTCATCCATGCCCAGAATAGCAATAATATCTTGTAATGATTTGTAGTCCTGCAAGAAGAAGTACAGTTATACTAAACCCACATTTACATTCATAAGGAATAATGTAAGATGACTTAATTAATCATTAAAACCTTAAATAATAATCACTGTCATATCCTAATTGCCCTTCACCATCAAGAGTATTGAAAAATATATATAGCTTGTATATACATCACTTAAAAAACTTGTTCTAAAGAAGATCAAAACCAGCCAATTATCTGACACCTTATAGAATGTTTCCTATATTACTGTACCTAAATACAGTTCCTGGAACAAACTTTATTTTTATTCTTTTATCATTTCCCCACTTATCAGCTTACTAGTCATTTGGGTAGTTGGTCTATCCAATTTTAGTACAGGAGAAGCCTGGAGGAAACCTGTGATGTATAGTAGTAGGGTCACACTGGGTAACACCCTTCTCCCGGGCCAAGAAGGACTCAAACCCATGATATATTGGTGAAAGATACACCTGTTACTGCTGTACCTCCAACACTTTAAGCTTCTTTCCCTACACCCTTCTCATCATACCTCTGCACCAACAGCTTTCCTATGCTCTCTCTACAATTATAAAACACTAATACACTGTCTTTCAATTTCATTGACACAGCCCAGAGGAAAATTCAAAGGATGAACGTTTAAATAGCATACTTTTGGGGTCTTGAACCCCTTTACTACAGGAACACCACTTTGGAGATCTTATTTGGCTACTACAAGACGATTTTATTCAGCACAGAGGAGATCCCGTATACAAATGGTTAATTCACATATCGCAAGACTCTGCAATGCCTGTAATCTTTAATACTGTATCAGCATAGACTATATAGTATTCAGGTTAGGTGATCTTTATGAAGAGAGAGAGAAAAGTAAATACAAATGTTAATAAAATTAATATCATCATACCTGAAGGATTTTCTGCACACTACGGGCAATTGAATAATGTTCCAGACCGATAACATTTGGGTCCATAATTCTTGAAGTGGAATCCAGGGGGTCAACGGCAGGATAGATCCCCAGCTCTGCTATGCCTCGGGAAAGTACTGTAGTGGCGTCCAGATGAGCAAACGTAGTGGCTGGGGCAGGGTCCGTCAAGTCGTCGGCTGGCACGTAAATAGCCTGAAGAGATGGACAGATACATTATGCAGTATAAATGTGCGAATGAGTTTTGATGCAGCGCTCCTGCTTAACCCCACCACTTTCTTTATTCTTTTATGGGAGAATTATTTTTTATTTATGCAATTTTTAATTACGCAGCCATTTTCAAGAATGCAACAGCAGTGAAACCTCCATACAGTTAACCCTCACTTTACGCGGTCCCACATTCCGCGTTTCCACGGTTACGCGGTGCCCTGCCGGAACCCAGGATGCTCACATTCCGCGGTGCGTGTACCCCTTTACGCGGAAAGTGGCTGGCGAGCCGCGCCATTTTTGGATCCAAACCTCCCGCCATCCGCCATGTTGTGTAAGCTGCGCGAACACGGTGCGCACAAGGTCGCCCAGTCATCAAAACATTACCAGTTCTTCACCCGCCACCCACCACAGCCGGCCCAAGTCAGTGATAGTGATAATTATGGTGAGGATATGGACTTATATAGACTTTGGGGAGTTTGACAAAGAGGCCCTGCAAGCCTCTGTGGTGGATAGTGATACAATTGATACAAGTAACACAGGTGAGGGCCAATAATCTGCCCTCTGCCTCGGAACCAACCGCCCATCCCCGTGTGCCCAGCCATTTTTTCTACTAATGTAAGTGTTAAAAAACCTAATATTATTGATATTTCTCTTAATTATTAATTGTGTGTGCATACCATCATAAAGTTAAGATAATATTTTTACTACAACATAGTTGTGTGTCGTCAAAAAGTGGAGTTTGGGGGTCGGCCCGGACTCCATTTCAATTAATCCCATATGTTATGTTATTCACTTTACGCGTTTCTCACTCTACGCGGGACCCTCCGGGTTAGATTAACCGGGTAAAGTGAGGGTTAACTGTATAACGGATCTATATCTCTCTCCATATAATCCGTTAGATGGAGATTTCACATATAAAGGACCCTCGATATAATGGACATCCATCTCTACATGCAGTAGTCCATTAAATAGAGGTTTCACTGTACAGTACTGTTTAAATTGTGATGCGGTATTGATAAAAACTCAAATCCAAAACAATACTCATTACAGTTATATGAAAATGAAAAAAGGGAAATTATTAATCAATGACTGTATTCACCTGGACAGAAGTGATGGAACCTTTCTTTGTGGTGGTAATTCTCTCCTGCATGCTGCCCATATCAGTGGCCAGGGTCGGCTGGTACCCCACGGCTGAAGGTATACGACCTAGCAATGCAGACACCTCAGAACCAGCTTGTGTGAACCTGATAGACAACGAAATTAAATTAAAATCTGTGCAATTAGAAAAATACAATACAGTATCTTAAAATTTTTACACATTCTTCTTTCCAATCATTCTTCATGTTCTTTACACATATAATATTAGTTGCTGTAATCCTCTACCACCACTCTAGTTAAGTATACCATACACTGTCCTTACTGTACTCTGACCAGGTTTTCAATAAAGTTCCCCAACACATTTACCCCTTTTACTTTCATGCAGTACTAAAGGCACAACAAGAATTCAGTGCTACACTAGCATGTGGTTTACAAAGATATATTTAGTCTAACGTAACCTAAAAATACTAAATCACAAAGAAAACCTGGATAGTACACATTCTAAATTATTGGATAAATTGTGTAAATTTGTTGTACACAGCATGCTATGCTAGCACCAAAAATTCTTTCACACACACTCTAGAACTAAGTCTCTTGTTTCACATTGATGTAAAGTTAAGTGCTGATTGTCTCACCTGAAAATATTATCCACGAAGAACAGTACATCTTGACCTTCCTTATCTCTGAAGTACTCGGCAACTGTCAGTCCTGTGAGAGCTACACGAGCACGGGCGCCCGGTGGCTCATTCATCTGACCATACACTAGTGCCACCTTGAGGGAAGAATACATGGGTAATAATGAAGAGCTCTAACCTGTATGGAAACTGATACACAATAAACCCTCCCAATAACACACTAATTCTTGCAAGTCCTGTCCATTATTGGGAGGATTCTGTCTTTAAGAATATCCACTTGAGAAGGTTTATTGTATCCATTACTTTATTGAGAGGCAAGGTTGGCCGATTTAAACCAATGGCTAGTAATTAGTATTGAAAAAATAATTAAAATAATCCAAGCGTCATTATGACCACTATTTATGTCACAATCGAAAGGTCGACCGTAGAATCAAAATCAACATGATCAGGAATACTGTACCTATACTGTACTGTACTGAGATATTGAACAAAATAAATTTGGGGGGCCAAAATGGCTGAAACTAAGGCTAATACTTTCTTTCATCCTCTTCACCACTGAATGGCTCGTTAGCCGCTTGGGCGATCGGTCACGTCTCTGATTACTGTACTTTTCCTTTTTTTTTTATCCTCTTTACCAAAAGATCGGTTCGCTAGCCTTGAGAATATTTACACTGAAATACTGTATACGTTTTTCTCAGAATTGGAATTTAAATGGTTTAACTACTGTAATTAAGTTTTTCCAGAATAACACAAAACACTAAAATCATACCTTGGAAACCAATACATCATGAGTAATTAGCATTGAAAAAATCATTAAAATAAAAAATAATTAAAACCTTGCAAGCTTCATTACAACCACTACCGGTAATTACACAATAGCCCAAAATATTTTCAGCCTCAACTCCTATAATGGGTAAGGGTTACTGTTTTCGCCACAATCTTGATCTCATGGATTTTGCTCAATACCTGTACACAGTTTGTACTCCTCAACATGTTGATTAAGGATCTGTTGTCTGCATTTGATATCTGTCTAATTACTTGTCCAGATAAAATCTAAAGTATTTTAATTACTTTTCTATCGCTAATTACTCGTCGCCTATGGTTTTTCAAAGAGAAAGTTTACTATATTCATTATAATACTTTATAGAAAAGTCTGTTATTGAGAGTGTTTACTATATAACACTTATATAAACAGGTGTTTCTTTATAAGACATTCACAAATTCCCAAGTCCACTAAGTGATTTCTTACCTTAGACGTTTCATCTGTCAAGGATATAACACCAGATTCAATCATCTCGTGGTAGAGGTCATTACCTTCTCGTGTCCTCTCACCAACACCAGCAAACACGGAGTAGCCACCGTGAGCCTTGGCCACATTGTTGATAAGTTCCATTATAAGCACAGTCTTGCCCACACCAGCACCACCAAACAGACCTAAGAATCACAAAAATCAATAACACTATATTCTGGATTACAGAGTTTATACACTAAATTGTACCTTTGCAGTAAGCCCTTAAGTTATACAGTACTTATAGCCTGGCATGTATAGAGTTCCTAATAGGCAGTGAATATGGTAACATCTTAGTCTGACTACTGTACTCCCATTTCATCTACTTCCCATTAGGTTAGGTCATCATTAATTGACAATAAACATTCTGGGAACATGCGACATTTTCAGAGTAAACATAATGGAATTACACAAAGCCCGTATCATCATTGGGTATGACTTTGCTTGGGAGATTGGTATCCCCGCATCCCCTGAGCAACGCTCTTGTGCATTATGCAGAAGACCCGACAGCAGCACCCTTATCCACTACCTCCTAAGATGTCCCCACACACAACGCTTCCGTGACGCCTGCTGGACCACCACTCCACGACCCCCTGACGGAGACACGATGATCCTCCCCATACTGGCCAGATATTTGTAAATAACATTGATTATGTGTTAAAGGAATATCCTTCCTTTCTTAGACTATAGTAAGCCCCTTTATAATATTTATACTGTATATACTTGTCACACTTGCCAGATGCTTCTGGTGTCATTGTACAGGGGTACCTAGTGACAGCACTAGGATCCCGCTTCCTCTATCAAGGAATAAACAATTGAAATTGAATTGATTACACAAAGTGGGTGTAAACAGTGAATACTACAGTGACTTATGCAGGATACAGGACACATACCTATAATATTCTTAAATTGTATACTACAGTATACAGTGGTCCCTCGGTTAACGAAATACCTTACATAAGAATATTCAATTCGGTTCACGAACAAAAATTTGGTTAACGAAATTCTTACGAAAATGTTTCGACATGCTTTGGCTTGCTCACCAGCTGGAAGATTAGTCTGCCAATACAGAAATCGGTTCTAGGGCTTACATTTGTTAAAATTGGAGTAAATATCAAGAAGGTTGTACTATTCAATAATTTTCCAAGTTTTATATTAAAATTTTTAGTCATATTAACACTTAACATAATTGCAGTGCAGAGAACTAGTTTTTGGTGCACCCATCAGCCACTTCACTCACCCACCAAGGCCTCAGCTTGTATCTCTGTTCAGTGGAGGAAACATCTTGCTTGTGGGTCTCTTGAGGACAGAGTATTTTTACGTTTTTACAGTACAATTATTGGTCATTGTGAAATTTATTTAATATATTGACAATATATAGTGCAGTGCAGTGTTGATTTAAAGAAAATAATCTTGAATTACACCTAGTGAACTTAAAATTTTATGGGTGAAATGACGGCATCAAGCATGGGGTGATTTCTCTTCCACCCCCACTTCCTTCTCTTCTCCCTTTTCCTCCACCCTCACTTCTAATTCCCACCACCATCATCATCATCATCATCAATCAGGAGCCTTCTACATACACACCTCAAAGTAAGTGTACTTTACTGCATTTTTTTTTACTTTGTATGTAATTTTCTGTGAGCTGGAACCAATTACTCAAAATCCCATTGAAACAATAGATTCGGTTAACGAAATTTTCAGTTAACAAACGACCTTCTGGAACGAATTGTGTTCGTTAACCGAGGGACCACTGTACTTTATCAATCAGGAGGGTGAGAGTATTGGTAGTAAAGTAGTTACTGCTTACCTCTCACCACAACATCCTGAGTCAAATCTCGGATCAGTGGTGACAAGAGTGTTATTGAATATGACCCTATTAAACAAAGCAGATTTAGTTCCAGTATTACACTTTTCCTCTGTACTAACAATGGACCCATGAGGAATAAAACTCATTAAGAATAATAGGGGTATTAAAGAAGCCACCACCATCTTCCTTCAACAGAGTTGTAGATTACTATTAAAAATTTAATGCACAGCTGTCAATTACTGTATTATATATTATGTGAGTCTCCTAACCTACCCACCAAAATGATATACCTACACAGGTCCATGAATGGACATGTGGTACAAGCATTGTTTATCAAGCAAAACTTAGTTATTGATAATTTGGTCACTGCTATAGTGCCATGGCATAATATAAACTTACCTAAATGTGAATAAATATGTATTTCAACAAAACTTACCAATCTTTCCACCTTTGGAGTAAGGTGCTAACATGTCCACAACCTTAATTCCTGTTACCAAGATCTCCTGCTCTACGCTCATCTCCTCAAATTCAGGAGCATCGGCGTGAATGGCAGCAAAGAAAGGTGTGTTAACTGGTCCGCGCTCATCAATTGGTTCTCCTGTGAGTGAAGAACATGATGCTATGAATCTACGGTGATTTTCTTTATAAATTTTTTAACGGTAACCCCTTGTGTTTGTGGTCATAAACTGAGCTGAATAAAATTGTCTGGAGTGAACCAAATAAAATACCCTACTTAAAGTGGTGTCCACATAGTGAAGGGATTAATACAGTACAGTATTACATTGTATATAAGTCACAGCATCACATGGATGTTATATGCTGGAGCGAACAATGTAAGCAAAGGTGTTTATACTGTACAGTATTACAAAACAAATACTTATCACTTCTAATTTAACAGGAAGGATTACCTCTTCTAACATTCCTTTCCCCAAAATCAACAGACATCAGTCGGTGTTTATTTATTTTACATCAACGCCTACCTTAATTGTACTTACGGATAAGCAGATATTACATCTGGATAGTGTGAAAGAGGTGTAAGTACTGTACTGTACAGTACTCTGTATAGAATTTTTAGATAAGCAAATTTTTTGGTTAGCAATAATTCATACTGTGAGGGAAACTGTACTTGTATTGCTTAAGATATGAAACCCTAATAAAACCTACAGTAGTAAGCTCTAAGACAACCTATTCTCCTAGTAACATATAGTACTGTATACAGGTTTCATGTCTGATATTAATAACATGTTTTCACACAAAACTAATCACAAAACCTGTAATTATTATTTCAAATTTTAACTGTAAACCTTCAATACTGTGGCATCATTACTTCACGTTGTAAGATTGTGCGATGTCATTTCAGGAACAGGCAGGAAGCATGTGGCTAAAAAGTATTTTTTCACTTTCCAGAAAATATGGGTTTCTCACTCCGAAAAATACCTGACCTATTATCTTCTGTTTTGGCACATAAGGCCATGATGATGTAGATTTTGTTGAAATTTCATACAGAGGTCCTGTACTCCTTTACATGCTGATTAAGGATCTGAATTAAAAATTTTAGAATTCCAGAAATTAGTGTTAATTAATGACCTTTGAAAGAAAACACATTTATGATACCAGTACTGTACAGTATACTGAAGAATATTCACAAATAAGAAGCCTTTTACTGTTTACATTGTTCATTAAAGCTTACCAATAACATTAATGATTCTGCCTAAGGTTGCTGGACCCACCGGGATGGAGATGGGTCCTCCTGAGTCAGTGACCGGCTGCCCACGAACAAGGCCTTCTGTCCCGTCCATGGCAATTGTGCGTACAGTGTTACCCCCTGTAAGATGCACAGGATAAATAACAAAAACTGGATATAAAAATGTATAATAAAGTATTTCTGAAAACTTTGGGAGGCCACCTACATTCTTAACTTAAATATAAAACCTATAATTTCAGGAGATTAAGGACAAAATAACAAAATACCCCTGTAATATAATAATAATAATACTGTAATAGCAAAAGGACAAGCTAAGCTTCCATTTATGAATCATCTGGGAGCCTCACAACACTAGTATTAATCTTTACACATAATCTACACAAATTTAACAATGTATTGTACTGTACTAAATTAACAATTTGATTTGAGGTGCAGTACTGTACCACGTGAGAATAAAATTGAATCAAAAGTAATATTGTTTTTAATCTAATGATCTGTAGTAATGAAATTCAATAATAATAATAATAGGATCCAATTAACTTTCTAATTCACCATTAAAATCGAAACTTGGTTTTTAACATTAACAATACTTAACTCTTCATGTCATATAAATTAAAAAAAATATATGAAAATTTGGTTAAGGCCAGCTCACTAATCCTAATAGGACAATAAACAACCTTAATGTTCTCAACAAGAACTCACCGAGGTGTTGAGCGACTTCCAGCACAAGACGAGGATGTCTGTCCTTAACTTCCAGGGCATTGAGGATTGGAGGGAGCTCTCCCTTGAATTTTACATCTACAACAGCCCCAATAACTGCTGTCACTTGTCCTACTCCTGAGACCACATCACCTAAAATATGATAAAGTAAGATTAAGTTGTGCTGTAATTAGGGGAAAATGTTAGAAGTTAGTACAATATTCTTCACCTGATAACCAGAGAAAAGGTTCACAACTGGCACAAATTTACCTTCATCAGTCACTGTTTTAGATGCTGACTCTGCAGCAGCTACAGCAGCAGCTGCTACTACTTCAGGAGAAGCCTCAGCAGTTGGTTCTCGAACTACTTCAACAACTGGTTCTTCTATAGCATCAAAAGGTTCTGCTGCTGCAACTTCAGCTACTGCTTCTGCAACTGATGCTGCTGCTGCTGCAGATTCAGCAAATGATTCTATTACTGTAGCTTCAGTTCCTGGTGCTGCTGCTGCTGCAGGAACTGGTTCTACTGCTGCAGCTTCAGTTACTGGTACTGCTGCTGCAGCTTCAGCAGCTGGTTGTGCTGCTGGTACTCCTTCAGCAATTGGCTCAGCTGCTGCAGCCTCAGCTAATGGTATTGATGGTACAACTTCAGCAACTGGTTCTGCTGCTGCTGCTTTGGCAACTGGTTCTGCTGCTGCTGCTTCAGCAACTGGTTCTGCTGCTGGTGCTGCTTCAGCAACTGGTCCTACTGCTGCTGCTGTTTCAGCTATTGGTTTTACTGCTGATGCTGCTTCAGCAACTGGTTCTGCAGCTGGTGCTGCTTCAGCAACTGGTTCTGTTGCTGGTGCTGCTTCAGCAACTGGTTCTGCTGCTGCTGCTGTTTCAGCAACTGGTTTTACTGCTGATGCTGCTTCAGCAACTGGTTCTGCAGCTAGTGCTGCTTCAGCAACTGGTCCTACTGCTGCTGCTGTTTCAGCAACTGGTTTTACTGCTGATGCTGCTTCAGCAACTGGTTCTGCTGCTGGTGCTGCTTCAGCAACTGGTCCTACTGCTGCTGCTGTTTCAGCAACTGGTTTTACTGTTGATGCTGCTTCAGCAACTGGTTCTGCAGCTGGTGCTGCTTCAGCAACTGGTCCTACTGCTGCCGCTGTTTCAGCAACTGGTTTTACTGGATGCTGCTGCAGCTGCAGCTGGTGCTGCTTCAGCAACTGGTTCTGCTGCTGGTGCTGCTTCAGCAACTGGTTCTGCTGCTGCTGCTGTTTCAGCAACTGGTTTTACTGCTGATGCTGCTTCAGCAACTGGTTCTGCAGCTGGTGCTGCTTCAGCAACTGGTTCTGCTGCTGGTGCTGCTTCAGCAACTGGTTCTGCTGTGGGTGCTGCTGCAGCTGCTGCTTCAGCAACTGGTTCTGGTGCTGCTGCAGCAACTGGTTTTGTTGCTGGTGCTGCTTCAGCAACTGGTTCTGTTGCTGGTGCTGCTTCAGCAACTGGTTCTGTTGCTGGTGCTGCTTCAGCAATTGGTTCTGTTGCTGGTGCTGCTTCAGCAACTGGTTCTGTTGCTGGTGCTGCTTCAGCAACTGGTTCTGTTGCTGGTGCTGCTTCAGCAACTGGTTCTGTTGCTGGTGCTGCTTCAGCAACTGGTTCTGTTGCTGGTGCTGCTTCAGCAATTGGTTCTGTTGCTGGTGCTGCTTCAGCAACTGGTTCTGTTGCTGGTGCTGCTTCAGCAACTGGTTCTGCTGCTGGTGCTGCTTCAGCAACTGGTTCTGTTGCTGGTGCTGCTTCAGCAATTGGTTCTGTTGCTGGTGCTGCTTCAGCAACTGGTTCTGTTGCTGGTGCTGCTTCAGCAATTGGTTCTGTTGCTGGTGCTGCTTCAGCTGTTGCTGCTGCTTCAGCAATTGGTTCTGTTGCTGGTGCTGCTTCAGCAACTGGTTCTGTTGCTGGTGCTGCTTCAGCAACTGGTTCTGTTGCTGGTGCTGCTTCAGCAATTGGTTCTGTTGCTGGTGCTGCTTCAGCAATTGGTTCTGTTGCTGGTGCTGCTTCAGCAACATGTTTTGCTGCCGCTGATGGAACAGCTGGCTCTGCTATAGCTTCTGGAACTGGTTCTGGAATTTTTTCTGCCGATGCAGCAGATTTTGAAGGTACTCCATCTGACTCTGATGAAGATGAGTCAACAGCTGCTGGTTTAAGTATTTCTGGTTTGGCACGGATAATATACTCTAAAGTAGCACCCTTAAGTCCTGCAGTACTGGGACCATCTACAAGCTTGGGCACTTTTGGTTTGGAAGATTTATTTGTTGACTTAGAACCTGTGTTGTCCTTGGAGCCTCGTGCAGCATTTAGAGCTGCGTCAGTGGTGATTGAGTTTTTCTTAGTGTCCCAAGAATCCTTCCAACCAGCAACTTTTGCAGCAGCTTTCTTCACTTCTGGTGATGGTATTCTCTTAGTGAGAGTTGGTCTTGGGACCTTGTTTTTCTTCTTTTTATCTTGTGTTGTTATAGTTGTGTGAACTTCACGTCTGTTAAGAGCAGAAATAGTTGGGGCTGAGGTGTGAACAGCAACTGGTTTTCCAGTGAGGCGATCCAACGCTGTCCGCCCCAGCGTTGATACTGCCCGCCCATGACGCTGAAAAAAACAGGTTTACATGTAGTTTAATGCAGCCAACGATTCTAACAAGAACACACTGCTTTTCTACAATATATATGTTTTTTAATTGCTAGTGACAGTACTCTCTTTTGGGGAAGTGTTTCTTTTTTATAATTTATACTATAAATACTGACAATATTATATAAACACTCAGGGGGGCTGCTAGGGGGCTAAGTTAGGTTATGTTAGTGCGGGGAGATATGATAGAAGTATTTAAGTGGGTGAAAGGAATCAATAAAGGGGATATAGATAAAGTTCTTATAATATCCGAGCAGGATAGGACTCGGAGCAACGGATTCAAGTTGGATAAGTTTAGGTTTAGGAGGGAGATAGGAAGAAACTGGTTCACAAATAGGGTGGTGGACGAGTGGAACAAGCTTAGCAACTTTGTAGTAAGTTCGGGAACTCTGGAAAGTTTCAAAAGGAGGCTAGATAGATTCATGGATGATAGAGAGTGGTAGTAACTCTCGACAGGAGCTGCCATGCACAGGCCAACCGGCCAATTGCAGACTCCTTATTTTCTTATGTTCTTATGTTAAACAAGGATAAGTTAAATACTGCCTACATTACATATCCACTCAGCAAAAGCATTGTTTAAATGCATAAATTTTGCTGTTATACTTACTGGAGTATGTCGATTTCTCCGGAAAAGTTGAAAAAAAACTAATGTTTGACCATGATTGGAAAATATTAGGCTTTTCCTTTTCTCCAGAAAACCTATATCCAAAAAAAAAAAAAAACAGCAAAATTCATGCAGGATTTTTTTTGCTGGCGAAATCATTCGCAGCACTTGAGTAAACGTTTATCCCCCAAAAATAAAGTTTTTTTTTTTTACGGGATTAACCCACCCGGGCACATGTCACTGACCCACATCGGAGCCTGGGGGTCGAAAATGTAACAATAATAATAATAATAATAATAATAATAAAAATAATAATAATCATAAATAATAATAATAATTCATAGTAAATAAAATTTATAATAAAAAATAAAATAGTACAGCACAATACTTAATAAGACACTCCCGTTAGTGATAACATATGAGCCAATTCAACAATAGAGGTACAGTAGTGCATCTTTCATCTGACCACAAAATAAAAATGTCAGAAAACATTTCGTGTATGAGTTTATACAGTATGCAGGTTATATTTACATAAACTATTTTAATAATAAGTATGTGCGCTCTCATGCACATTTACTAGACCTTTTGAGGCCACATGCACTTGATATTCTGAGGTCAATAGTAAGTACTTTTTACTATACAAAAACGCCTGAGTATACTGTAATACCGCATTAAAGAAATAATGGAATTTTCTGATGAAAATGGGAGTCCAGACCCCAGGACCCCACCCCCTTGGATCCGTCCCTGGCTTCCCAATGATAACTCAACATTGATTACAGACGTTGATGGGGGTAATAAAGTGTTGGGCTTGGATAGACAGTTGAGTCGATGCTTATAGTTATGTTGTTTCTTAGCCTTTAAATAATCATGTAAGTACAAGTTCTGTTTCTCTGGTGCTCAACTTTATGAATGAGTCTAGTCACACACACTGGATCTCTTACTACCTGATACGTGGCCAAGTTCAATGTCTGTTTAAATAGCCAGTGGAATTTGTATTTAAACAAAGTACATTTATAAGTACGCAACAATATTCAAGTTTTAGCGTAGAACATTTAATGCGTAAGTAACAATGGGTGAGGATTCTACTACAATGGGTGAGGATTCTACTACAATGGGTGAGGATTCTACTACAATGGGTGAGGATTCTACTGGTCTCCCTCCCTCCCACTTTGCAGCATTAGAGGAGAGAGGAACGGTCCCGGCCCGGAGCCGGTATTTTGGTGGCCGCCTTGACAACCTGTGGGCCGTGGCCTTACGTAACTGTACCGCATACCCTCTTTCCTGATTGCCTTCCCCAAATTACTATCAGCAGCGCGTCTCTGTTAGCTCTACTTCGCACTTCATAAAGCTAAAATAATTTAATCCTTTTTTTTTGTAAAATTATCACCTAAATAGAGATGAGAACAACTCGCCGATGTGTTGAGAGTTGTCGTACACAGCCACTAGACTACTACACCTGCTTCATGACGCCTCGTTCATCTTGTCACCAACATTGCTACTACGAAACTAGGTTTATTAATAGCTTACACATTTAACACCGTATTGCCCTCTACAAGATATGTATTCTCGTGAACTACTGTTGAAAAGATTTCTTGGTATTGCAAGTTGTGTAGGTCGGTAAACTTCAGTTAACGCATCATATTACGACAGGGATTACTGTATATCCCTTTATTTTTAATATTGATGGATTAGTGTAATTACTAATCATGTTATTGCTTGAGAGCAAATATGTACGTTTTATGCGTGCATTAGTAAGTACTCGTGTCCTACGTGGAGTGTCTGATTCAGTGGGTTTCCAAACTTGAAACGTGCCGTTTATCATGCATGCAGTGCTTATCTTATCTAAGCGCCTTCTTCACTGACTAAAAGCTATTGCCAAAATTTTGCGAAAAACGCTCTCATGGAGCTGTTAGCTTTATCATATACCGGGTATGGTTAATTTTATAAAAATGACGCAAGAACAATGTCATGAATATTTATAGCATTACCTATTAATATACTGCCACAGTTAATAATTTAAACATAATATTGGTGTGAGAACAGGCGTGAAACATATCAAATGACTACTTAACAAAAACTACAGTTAATAACCTGTTGTAACCTCGCCTCTGCACTGTCTGCCAAGGGTTAGTCAGCCCAGTGGTCGTTTAACTTTATCTTTACTGTGATTCAACAACTAAGGTCTTTAAGTGTGTAACAGGGATAGTAATTTTTTAACAAGTCCATCAAATTAAAAAAAATATGATAAATAAGCTCTATATACACTCACTGGTCACTTGTCGCTCAATGTAAATTTTAAGTTTTGAGTCGTGTTTTAAAAGGTTTGCGTTGGGTTTTAAATTATAATTCTTGGTTCTCACTTTGCATAATCTGAAACCCAAGTCGGCAAAATACAACATTCTTGCCATCCCCGTTATGATAATGTATAGCATATTTATGTTGGTTGCTATTAGTCTTTCTAGGAATACAGTGATAAAAAAAATTTAACTTCATTAAGAAATTAAATTTCATACACTTAAATGTATTCTCGAAACTTGTATATTGTGAATTGAGTTTGACAGGCATTTCCTGTAACGTTTGTTTCACGTGTTTTCGCCGTTCAGGAAGAGCGAAATTGATTTTTTTTAAGTTTTTAACCATCTATCACCCGGCCAGTTGCTTTTGTCATGATACAGTTATTATGTAGTACACAGGTGTGATCGTTACAGTAGGCTATTGCTCTTGTTGATTCATTATACGTCTAATAAAAAATGTGTGAGATTTTATAACATTTGCAAACATAATATTCACGTGATATTGTCTTTTATACGGTAGCAACATCTTAAGAGAAATAAAATAGTATTAAATCATTCACAAACTAATATACTGTTTCTTCACGTATCAAGATGTTTATGAAACATTCTCAAAGTTGTCGGCTGGAAGTCTATTTGCAGAAATACAATCTATCAATAATATTTACTGCATAAAAACATAAAAAATTGACTCTCGAAAGTTTGCACAGTTTGTGGAAAGAAGTATGGTTCCTCTCCTACGCCCTCCTCACGTTTGGGCAGCTTGGCGTGATCGTCATTTAATGCGATTCTTTAACAAGGCATTTAATGTCGGACTACGAAACATAACCCTTTTTAGTGTTCACCACCCGACCTTCACACTTCACTTATGAATAATGTATATTAACATTTTGTATCAGTATAAACGAGGTTAGTTTCTAACCTGTAACGCAGCTCCAGCTCTGTGCATCTTGAGAGGTTAAACTGAAGTGGTGGGGCTCGAGCTGCCAGAGTCCAGTACGACACTTTTTACACACTGCGTGTAGGGGAGGTCTACAGCAGTCGCCTCGTTGTTGTGTCACTAATATCTTCATTATAAGGTGTATTGTAAAGAACTGAACGTAACATGAATATAATCAATCAAATTTCATTACCAATGACATGTTCTTAATTAGATTATAAAAAAAGGTATATTAAACTTTTGTGTTATCAATATTAACCAGGTGACATTGTCTGTAGGACCCACCTATAGATTATAACTGTGGTGTTACATATCTAGTATTTACACAATGTTAAGATGTATGCTGTATATTCATTTTATATCAGTGATCATTCTAAGAGCTGTTTTCTATAAAGCCAATATGAAAGCTATACTGTATATCCCAAGGTAGGTAGATAACAGGTAGCCTCAGTGCCGGATTTAGACCTGTGGAGGCCCATGGGCAGCCTCTTTGTGGAGGCCCCCCTCATTATAACTACCCAAGAGGGTGGGGTGGCGAGTGAAGTGAGCCTAAATATCTGGGAGTTCCGGGGAGGCGCTGTAAGACCCCCGGGAAAATATTGAAATTTGAACACTTCTTTGGAGAATTTTGAAGCCATATGCAGTTATATTGAGGAAATTTGAACATTGAGAAGTTTTTAATTAACTGTATATTTATTGATAGTGTACAACTTCCCAACACACACACACACACACACAAAAGTGAGACATGACTGGAGTCATTCATGTGGTTTCAAGTAGGTTCATAGGAAAACCAGGTTTTCATGAATTTCAAGGAGTAGCTAGCCTAATTTCTATCACGCTTCTTGCTGAACATAGTTTTACGTGATGGAATAGATAAACATGAATTTTAAAGAATGAAAATAAAAATAATCCAAATAAATAAAATATTGTAAGATGTGGAGGCCCCTGGGCAGCTGCCCACTTTGCCCACTCCTGAATCCAGCCCTGCCTCGAGGAGAAGTGGGACTGCTCGAGGGAGCCTTACCGCCGGTAGGTCCGGAAGGAGGCGTTAATTTGCCCGAAGGACGCAGACGGTGTGTGCCTGGCAGATTATTCGTAGGAGAAAATTGTGACCAAGTCCCAGGTTGCTGATCTGACTTTCTACCTCATTTACACACATTTGCAGGGTTTCAATTGTTTCTCTTACTTTGACAACACAACATACATACATCGTTTCTCACTATTGATGTTTTTTACTTTTTGTATTTATTTATTATTATTATTATTATTATTATTATTATTATCATTATTATTATTATATTATTTTTATTTAATATTTATTATTTTTTATTAATTGTTTTATTATCATCACCATTATTACAATATCATTATTATTATATTTTCGCCCCCAGGCCCTGATGTGTGTCATTGACCTGTGCTCTGGTGGGCTAATCCCGTAAAAAAAAAAAATCTGTTAACATCGCCAAATGGATGTGCTGTATTACTTAGCTGCAGTCATGTAATTGACTAGATATTTTTGTTGCTGAAGGTCGTTTATCTGTAGAAGAATTGGGTCAAAAAATGGTGAGAGAAGCGGTAACTTCAACATTTAATGTAGCCAATGAATGGGAATAAAACTGTAAAGACGATAAAATTACAAGCCGGGAGGGGATGGGTCCAAATAGCAATTTTCCCGTGGTGTGTTATGCGTTAATAACTTTAAGAGACAAACTACACAAGACATAACACTCGAGAAGCCGACACTGATGGGAGTGGAAGCAGCTTGGGCGGTCTCCACGTCTCCTAGGCGGTTGGCAAATGGTGGGCATGTACTGGCTCCAGAATAAAATATATCTGGAGGGGTTTATTAACTTGCATTGTCACCCCTTACCCGCCTATAGTATAATCTAGGAAACTGAAGCCGTTTTATCTTTCTGGGTACCTTAGGTGCCATAGTGCAGGCACCAGTCTGGTGGATCTCATTTGATAATACAAATATAAATAAGATAATATAAATTTAGAGGCACAATTATCTGTGAAAAATTACACTTCTCAAAGGAACTCATAATACAACAATGTCAACACAACCACTTTATTATTTACAGCTCCCATACAAACCACTTGATGACAAGGTGTCCACTAATTGATCAACAGATTATAAACAATCACAACACAATGCATACAATAAAAAACTAAGTCTAGTTAGCACGGGTTACGTTATCCATACACAAAAATTCAGTATGAGTGGACTAGCGTTTATGTTCACTCTATACATTACCTAATACCCATATTTGAGGCCACCTTTTGAGGCCATCTCTGTTAGGTAGAGGCAAGGGGCTGGTCAGGTGACGGGCCGCGCCATCACCACCAAACAAAGGAATATATTTTCACTGTACATTATAATGATTTATTATTAAGATTATCAATAGTTTAAACATCAGATATTTAGCTTCTAAAGAAGAACTTTTTAAATCTCTGGAAGAAAGTAGGTGCTGGTTCTGGAGCAGCTGCCTGCTCTGCTTCAGCTGCTTTAGCTGTTGGCGCTGCTTCGGCTTCAGCCACTGGTACTGCTTCAGCTTCAGCCGCTGGTGCTGCTTCAGCTGCAGGTGCTGCTTCAGCTGCTGGCGCTGCTTCGGCTTCAGCTGCTGGTACTGTTTCAGCTTCAGCTGCTGGTGCTGCTTCAGCTTCAGCTGCTGGTGCTGCTTCGGCTGCGGGCGCTGCTTCGGCTTCAGCTGCTGGTACTGTTTCAGCTTCAGCTGCTGGCGCTGCTTCAGCTTCAGCTGCTGGCGCTGCTTCAGCGTCAGCTGCTGGCGCTGCTTCGGCTTCAGCTGCTGATACTGTTTCAGCTTCAGCTGCTGGTGCTGCTTCGGCTTCAGCTACTGGTGCTGCTTCAGCTACTGGTGCAGCTTCGGCCTCAGCTGCTGGTGCTGCTTCAGCTGCTGGCGCTGCTTCGGCTTCAGCTGCTGGTGCTGCTTCAACTTCAGCTGCTGGTGTTGCTTCGGCTTCAGCTGCTGGTGCTGCTTTAGCTGCTGGTGCTGCTTTAGCTGCTGGTGCTGCTTCAACTTCAGCTGCTGCTTCAACTTCAGCTGCTGGTACTGCTTCAACTTCAGCTGCTGGTGCTGCTTCGGCTTCAGCTGCTGGTGCTGCTTTCGCTGCTGGTGCTGCTTCAACTTCAGCTGCTGCTTCCTTCAGCTGCTGGTGCTGCTTCAGCTGCTGGTGCTGCTTCAGCTTCAGCTGCTGGTACTGCTTCAACTTCAGCTGCTGGTGCTGCTTCGGCTTCAGCTGCTGGTGCTGCTTCGGCTTCAGCTGCTGGTGCTGCATCAGCTGCTGGTGCTGCTTCAACTTCGCTGCTGGTGCTGCTCAACTTCAGCTGTTGGTGCTGCTTCAACTTCAGCTGCTGCTTCAACTTCAGCTGCTGGTGCTGCTTCGGCTTCAGCTGTTGGTGCTGCTTCGGTTTCAGCTGCTGGCGCTGCTTCAGCTGCTGCGGTTGCTGGTGATCAGCTGCTGCTGGTGCTGCTGGCTTCGCTGCTGGTGCTGCTTCGGCTTCAGCTGCTGGTGCGGCTTCAGCTGCTGGTGCTGCGACTGCTGGTGCTGCTTCGGCTTCTGCTGGTGCTGCTTCGGCTTCAGCTGCTGGTGATGCTTCAGCTGCTGCTGGTGCTGCTTTGGCTTCAGCTGATGGTGCTGCTTCGGCTTCAGCTGGTGCTGCTTCAACTTCAGCTGCTGGTGCGGCTTCAGCTGCTGGTGCTGCTGCGACTGCTGGTGCTTCGCTTCAGCTGCTGGTGTTGCTTCAACTTCAGCTGCTGGTGCTGCTTCGGCTTCAGCTGCTGGTGCTGCTTCGGCTTGCTGGTGCCGCTTCGGCTGCTGGTGCTGCTTCAGCTGCTGGTGTTGCTTCGCTTCGGCTGCTGGTGCTGGGCTTCAGCTGCTGGTGCGCTGCTGCTGGTGCTGCTTCGGCTTCAGCTACTGGTGCTGCTTCGGCTTGCTGGTGCTGCTTCGCTTCAGCTGCTGGTGCTGCTTCGGCTTCAGCTGCTGGTGCTGCTTCGGCTTCAGCTGCTGGTGCTGCTTCGGCTTCAGCTGCTGGTGCTGCTTCGGCTTCAGCTGCTGGTGCTGCTTCGGCTTCAGCTGCTGGTGCTGCTTCGGCTTCAGCTGCTGGTGCTGCTTCGGCTTCAGCTGCTGGTGTGGCTTCAGCTGCAGGTGCTGCTTCAGATTCAACTGCTGGTGTTGTCATTGCTTCAACTACAGGTTGTGCTGTGGGCGCAGCTTCCTTAATAATATATTCCTTGGTTGTCTCACCCACCTGTGTTTCAATATCTGGAAGAAAGGAATAATATTATGTAGCAAACTGTGTGGTCATGAGCTGCATTACTTGACCAACAGTACACGAGGTGTGCACGAGCAACAAGCACGAGCTGACCCAATATGTACAGTAATGGGTAACTTGAGGTAATAAGAATTATGGACAATGCTATTAGTACGATTATTATTTTATATCATTACTCGTGTTAATGTTAGTTATTATCATTATACTATTATTATCACAGTGCAGTACAGTATATCAATACCATTATTTCATTTACGATATTACTGGCGTTATTCTTGCCGTTATTATGGTTATAGCTATTGTCAATATTTTTATTGATATTATTATTTTTATTTTATTAATACTATTATCAACATGATCGTGGTTGTACTGACCAGGTGGAGGTACGGCAGCAGCCGGGGCGGCGGAAGTCAACTCTGGGGGCAAATGTTCAAACACAGCCTGGGTCCCGTGCAGCTTCCGACTCTGCTGCGACAACACAAGGTTAGGAATAATTATATATATATATATATATATATATATATATATATATATATATATATATATATATATATATATATATATATATATATATATACACACGAGTGTTTGAGTGAGTTTGTATACATGATTACATCTGTGTATGCATACGGGCTTTTTTTTACGGAGATTAGCCCACATGGGCACAGGTCACTGACCCACATTAGGGCCTAGGGGGCAAAAATATAATAATAATAATAATAATAATAATAATAATAATAATAATTATTATTATTATTATTATTATTATTATTATTATTATAAATAATACAAATTAATAAAACAAATAAAATAAGTAAAATAAAATTAGTGTACAGGTATATCTGTATATATGCACAAGGTCAATATCAAACAAACCAGTTATGTCTTACCTGTGTGGAGGAGAAATACGAGGCGGGGGTGTTGGAGGAGGTGGGTGGCCTGGCCGCTGCTGTGGGCGAGGTAGAGAGAGGGCCATTACTGCGGGCAGCTCGGCCAAGTGCTGCCGTCACCCTCCCTTGCTGTTGATGGTCAAGTGTTCATAAGTCATTATCATTAATGTGTGATTAACAAATTATGAATTGTATTTACATCACTAATATAATGTAACGGTAATGATTAGAATAAATGACACCTTTTGCGACTTGTTAATATAGCAAGATGCAGTTTTTGACCCTTACTACGCATATGTAATGGGTTAAGTCTCTGAATCACGTCATGGTATACAGTCTTTACAACACTCAGCTTGGGAACCACAGCCTTGGTTACAAGGGAACATCTGACGTAGGAATCTACAGTAGAAACGTCCAGAGGTGTGTAATGTCTCGGTATCGAGCACGGATTGATATTAAGAGAGGTTGTAAAGACGCGTAGATTAGTGGTGATAACGACTACAGGACACCACGAAGCTGGTGAATGTGACCTACTACACTTGCCCATAGTGTGTGTGCCCGCCTGATAACTCCCAAAGCAACAACGAAAGCTCAGCACCTGGTGAAAATAGCCCAGGGCTGGCGTACACGGCAGCCTCCACCAACACCCAACAGTGGCAGCTGTACTGGCCTGCTTTAAAAAGTGCTCAAGTGAAACTTGAGGACAACCCCGTCAAACTCCACAGTACTAAGTGTTTCATAGATTTCAGGAGTCAGACACTTGACCATGTTTCGGTTCCTACCTTTTAGGAGTTTAAAGGTGAACCCGTATTGTTTGTAGTACTTTGTCGTCCAATTACACCGATCCTCGACGTCTTTGTGCGAGTCTTTGGGGAAATGCAGAATCAGCTGATTCAGCTGTTTTGCAGGTGACGCATCTGGGGCAGCGGGTGACCCACCATCGGTGCCACACCAGCCAGTGGTTTCACTAGAAGCGTTATGGTTACTGTCACAATCACTGAGGTCTAAATCTTGAGAGGTGTGGGATGTAATGTGTCGCCCGGTCCTCTTTATGGACACCACGGGCAATCAATAGCCACCAATCTTCTGTTATAAGCACGAACAATTAGAGTCCAACACCTCTCCGTCCCACACTGACAAACATACGGGAGTTTCACCAGGTCATGAACTTTGTGACTGCAGCTGCGCTTTTATGGTACAAGCATAATTATGGCTTCATCTCTCGCTTCAGTTTCCGACATTGAGTTCTCACAGAGGGCGTCAAGATGGGCTTCACTGTTTAAAACATACTGCACACTTACTAGTGAGCGAGAATGTTTTTATTTCTTAGTAACAGAATTTGTAAATTGATTTATTTATTTCACTCATATACACACAATTAAAACCTTAATATTAAAGATTCATTGCCTTTAGATGTAACATTCCCTTAAGCTTTATTCTCTGGCTCCTCCCCCTCCCCCCCCATGTATGCAACTATTTATCCCCTAAACGTCATATTGTGTCACATCCGTTTTCTAATTTTATACACGGTGCTTGATGTGTGAGGTGTGTAAGTTGCTAGGCTCTCGCTGGCACTGACATAAATGGCCTTGTTTCCCTTCAACACACACACACACACACACACACACACACACACACACACATACACACACACACGGGCAGTTTTGATAGACTTAAACGCATAACTTTTCTGTGCATACGTGTAATTGCACAATTAATTGTTTTGTAATATTTCCATCTTCACTTGTAATGCTGCTTTTGATTTCATACACCTGTACCTAAAGTAGACTTGTAGTGTGATGTACCTTTGCTTCTGAAATTATAAATCTACCTGCATTTTTATATATCCATACACCTATGCAGTTGTTTCTGTATTATAGATCTGTTCTTATACACGTGCATGTATCTACACCTATCTGTATATATATAAATCTGAACTTATACAGTTGTGTACTTATACAACTACCTCTGAATACACTAATACAGTGTTAGGTTACTGGGTCGCCAACAGGGACTACTAACCGTCAAACACACAACAACATAAATGAACACATAGGCTACAAAACGTGACCTACTCTTGGATAAATTAGGACATCGGCCAACTACAATATTGGCAAAGGGAATACTCTGGTACCAAGGACCTGCCAGACGTACAAGTATATTGTTTCGTATTCTGAAGGATCTTAAAACGTTACGTTTATCGCTGGAAAACAATAATTTATCTAAATCTTAACATGTGAGTGCCAGAGCAAATTATAAAATGCAAGTCCACGTATATAAGCTAAATCCACGTGTATAGTGTAGGGGAGACGTCCACTACAATTACCCCTACAATAGGCTATTAAGCAACATATTCACTTAATCCACTAGTAAAAAATATAATTTTATTTCAAGTATTAAGATTTAAAAATAGGAGTGCGCATAACGCTACTCAAGGTCAGCATATATTACACATCACACACACACACAAGGGTGGTAAAACTTCAGGTGATCCTTCAAATCAGACGGTATACAGACATATATACATACATACGCATTAATGCAGGAGCATATGAATATATGCCACACACACACACACACTGTGATATGTACCAGCCAGCTCGGAGAGCGGTGAGGACAGGGAGTCAAGAAGTAGGTTAACCAGTTCAACAGGTTGTGGTGTAAGTTGGGGGCGGTCCTACCAACAAGGTGTACAAGTGTTTCCTCTACCACACACACACACACACCACGGAGGGCAGGGAGGACATGTAGGGAGAAGTACGAATGGAGGTCCAAAGGTAAGCGTGAATGACGAGAAAGACGGAGGAGATGAGATAAGGAAATAGAGAGGGAAGGAGGGGAGGTAAAAAAGAAAGATGTAAAGGAAGGAGGTTGGATGAGAAAGGGACAATGAAAGGCTGTGGAATAAAGGAGGAGAAAGAAAGGGGAAATAAAAGAGAAGGATGGTATGGAAAACGGAGCAGAAGAAGGAAAGGGAGAGAGGAAGAGAAAATGCCACATTTAAAACGTAGATCCAGTTACGTAATTCGCAAACTAATGGTTTTGGAGACCGGGTTTACGCGTCCTAAAACCGGGATTCATAGAAAACAGTTCTGTGTAGTTTAAAGGGTAAACAAACCTAAACGATGGGGAATATACTTGGCAGAATGAAAACAAAAAGTTGACCATGTACTCAATTGCTCTATTATGTGATATGATACGATGTAAAGTCAAGTTTATTTACTGTGTAATTTCTTAATAAGTGAGGCTATGAATTATATGGGACATGATATTTGTACTAAACTTCTTAGACCGACAGCAACAGCGGTTTGGCCCGGGAATTCGTCTACTGACCCTGAAGTAGCTAACCGGGTGTCTTCGCTTCGCTAAAGACACCTGTACGTGCGTCCCACCTCTACCACCTACCAGTCCACCTTAGCTAAAGTAACTAAAATTACTTAAGGATCATTAGGTTTGATTTTAAATGTGTATTAAGATAAATAATTTAGCGTTTCTGTTCGTGGGACTTTTCCAACATTATGTCTACCCCCTGTAGGTAACACGTCACACAAGACACAACCATTCTTAACTATCAACACCACACTTATACACTTGCAAAACACAATAATAAGCATGATAGTATTCATTTCTAAATCTTCAGACTAGACTGAGTAAAATAAAGATGTAAATTCCCTATATATATGGAGCGTCGCGTGGTGTTGCCATGTTACGTAAGCCCATTTTTGTGTTTGAAAACCAGCAAAGTTTCATGATAATCACCTAAAGTTCCAACGTGTTGCTGTGTTAAGATCTTATATATTTTAATAATAGTACACTGTAAAGAACACCACATAACACTTCAACAGGAACAGACTACAATATATACTCCCAGTCCCCACACCACCAAATCATCATCGCGATATTTAATTACTTTTTTACTTTTAACCTCTTCGCCACTGATCGGCTTGTTAGCCGCCCGGGCGATCGGTCACCTCTCTGTCACGCACTGTTGGCAAATACTGGGCATGCACCGGCTCCTGCATGTACCTGAACCCGCTCCAGTGTTGGTCAAGTCTTGTCTTGAAAGAGCTCACACTCGGTGCCGTCACAACACTCTCTGGTAGATTGTTCCAAGAGTTTACAACCCTCACTCCGAAAAAGTTTGCCCTCACGGTTTTCTGGACTTGCGGCTTCTTTAATCTTGAGCTGTGACCCCTTGTGGGGCGAGCGTCCGCCAGCTCCAAGTAAGGACACTCAACTGAGTAGTGCCCCTGAGATGCTTATACACCTCAACTAGGTCCCCCCTTGCCCGTCTGTAGTATAAGCTAGGCAAGTTCAGGCGCTCCAATCTCTCAGGGTAGCTGAGGTGCCGAAGTGCAGGCACCAGTCTGGTGGCCCTCCTTTGAACATTTTCAACCAACTGACAGTCCCTAGCATATCTTGGGGACCAGATGGGGTGACAGTACTCCAGATGGGAAAGCACTTCACTCCTGAAGATCGTTACGAGGGACGGACCGTCTAGATATCTGAACGACCTTCTTATAAGACCCAATAATTTATTTGCCTGATTTACCTTCTTCTCACAATGGCCCGAGAACTTCAGCTCATTGTCAACATACACACCTAGGTCCTTCTCACACACAGTCTCAACTAGTGCAATGTTATAATATCCACACACTATTTCTAAACTGTATCTACGTTATATAAACCAATTTACTCGTTGGTACTAAATGTTACACTGTACTTACCGTAACAGTAATCCCAGCCCGGTGCATGGTGTATGTGTTGGGGGAGCGTGGAGGATCTGGTGAGCGAGTACAATTGTTGCTAGGGTGGCTCAGCTGGCTTAGGGTACGACACTCTTTACACCTAGCCGCACAAAGGAAGGTTTCAGAAAATTGTCTATAATATCTTGTTATTTGCAGTAATTAGTTATATTGTTGAGGTGTTGTTTAATTCAAGTATATCTGTAAATTTCAGTAAGACAAATTTCCAATAAAAGCCAGTTCAAGGCTGCGATTATTGTGTTACATAGTGGGTAGTATATATGGTCATGATGTGAGATTATAGGTTTAGAATATAAAATGTTTTATTTAGGATATAAGATACAAAACCACATTTAGGGCACAAAAACAAAAAAAATATAGGAAGTAGTAGCCTTGAGCCTCTACCTGTTGGCTGCCGTACGACGCTACACTGATTTTAGCACATTTTTCAGTAGTGATTTTGGTTTACATATACTTAATGAAATTGCTGTATCAACGATGACATAATATATATTTTAAACAATTAAGCTATTTATCACATCTCAAAATGTAGGTAGCGTGTTAATTCAGACACGACCGGCGACTACTTACGTAAGGTTCTGCCGCATGGACATGTTACATAACCCTCCCGTACACGCCTCACCACATGCATCTAAATTAAATCTACTCAGCTCTATTTAGGTGATAATTCCTGAAATATGAATTTATATTAAGCGTCTTTGAATGTGATTTTACTGATACCGTCCACGAACCAGAGACGTGACTGATCGCGCAAGCGGCTAACATAGCCGATCATTGGTGAAGAGGATAAAAGTAAAAGTAAAGTTAAACGAAATACTGTATACCGTCAGTACGTGGCGATGGTGGATCCCACCAACTGGGTTCATTTATACCACAAACAACAGAAACATAATGTCCCAAGTCAAGCGTTAATTATTGCACTGAGACTACGGTAACTAGATGCTGGATGCGACGTCGTATAAGTAATAATAATGATGACTAGGGATGTTTATTGCAGAGACTGACATCTTAGGGCTGCCCATCTACATGTAGTGTCACCCCCCCCCCCCCTCTCTCTCTCTTTTAGTTCTGTAAGTTATGGCCATCTGGTTTTTCTAGTGGTCATGTGAGGGCCATATATACTTAAAAGTCCAGTCCAGATAACGCTGACTCACATCCGACCAAAGCGGAAATCGAATTCGGATTGCAGGGTTCAGAGGAGAGATACCACTTTACCAGACGTTAATTTTATTCCGTACTGATAGGACGGCTGTGTACAGTTAACAAGTAAATTTAAAGATTTTTGCTTATTAGATATAAAGAGTACAAAGGATGTTTAAGAAATAAAGTGAATCGGAGAAACTGCTACCGTGGAGCCTAAACCGTGAACGTCCTTGACGTGGCTGTTGTATATAGGTCTCCCCCCTTACTCTTTTACCCATAGACCCTCTCAGCTACCAGCGCGGCCGGCCCCACCACTTACCCACCTCTATACAAATATATAGCTGTTAATGAATATGATGTATTTCTGTGTGTATGAACCACTGTCCTGCGTGGCAGTGAGAAGTGATACCACCCTCAGTGTCAAGACCTGACTGAATTACACAGAATAGGCAAACTGTACTACAAGATTTGTCAATAAATTTGTTAAACTAAAAACACCACCGCCGGCCGGGTTATACAATACATATGTTATAACACTCACAGTATACAGTATATACTTTTATAGGAATTCTATGTACTATCTTAAATTCTTAACTAAATACTGTACTGTACTACCTTTACTCTCCAAATTACGTGCGTGATATCTGAGTCAATGAATTTAGATATAAATGGATAAAATTTGTATTAGGATGAACCTGCAATAGAATTTGGTTCCTTTCTCAGTGAATCGTAGCACCTCGCCCAGTTGTTTATTCATGTTTTATTTATTGTAATAACCCGTTCATCGTTTTATAAAATCTGAGCTAGAGGTTTCTGGCCTCCTCCTCCACGAGACAGCGGAGGCGTCAAGGCGCAGCCGCAGCTCAGTGTTCATGGTTCATACGTTTGGTAGCGGGGTGTGTTTATTTTTGCTTCGTAGTTCAATTATTGTACTTATTCCTATTTTTTGGTGTCTGCTTACCACATATACCTAGTAAAACTCTACACGTTTGCAATATATATAGTGACACAAAAAGTACGTGCATATTTGAGCACATTATTAGATACATACAGTAGTAGTTCTCATTGTTAATAAACCAGTAAGAAAGAAAACTTTCGAATTTAGAAAACGTTAAATTTTGAAGGGGTAATTACTTTAAATTTTATTAATTCCCCAGGTGCAGCATGAACACCTTCATAGATAATTCTAGTAGAAAATGGATACTCGTCATAATAGAAACACGTAAGGCAGCCATATCCTATAATGCAGAATATTCTAAGATGCGGATACCTTGAGGAACACAACTGCTGGCTGCTTTGTTTTGCCGGCCGTCGACAGCATGGTCATTGCGGCCCTGAGGAACACAAACGAATTCAATTAAAACACAACTGAGGCTAAAGTTCCATAACACAACGACTGAATCGTCAATAAATACACAGTGGGTAACTTGAGAGATACAGGCGATCGAGATATGTCAGCACTAGCACAACTTCATCACGGGAAGGTAAACAAACTCCCCAGAGAGACGTGTAATGTGTCTACGGTAACACACCAGAAAGCAACAGTTTCCATCTCTGACGTGACGTTCAGTGTTGTTTAGTTTGTCTTTGAGGCCAATGGCTTGTGTATTACGACTACTAATCCCGGTACTATTTTTTGTAAGAAACTATTGAAAAAAAAGATTGAATAGTGAGGAATAATGTTGCTTACTGTATTGTATAGCTTAATCTGATTTGAACTTGATACCAAAAGTCATGTACGTGAGAGAGAGTACAGTAAGTAGTTCAATAGAGCTCGGTGATATTACGACGGTTTTGGGGCTTATGTTTGTAGTGTGTTTTAATGAGCGAGTGAGCTGTGTTGTGGGTTTTGTGTCACATCTTCAGTGACGTCAAGATTTTGTCACGTGATATAGACTATCCCCCTCCCTCCCCCCTTCTCTCCCTAACTATCTATCCTCCATCCTTCCCTCTCTCTCTTTCCCCCTTACTCTCCCAAACCATCTCTCCTCACCCCCCTCTCTCCCCTCTTCCTCTCTCTTCCTCGACCCCTTCCTTTCTCTCTGCTCTGTACCTCATTATTTCCTTCAGTACGACCGACGCTCAGTCACCGTTCACGACAAGATGGACATGTCAGGAAAATTTGCATCCCAACATTATTACCAATTTCCTGGCCCGGCTTTGTCCTTCCCTGCTAACAATTTCCGACGTAGGGATGCCTTCCTTCCGCCTTCCCTTCCTCCCACTTACTCCATCGTGTCGAGGGTAATAAGATGAGCTTGCAAGTTGTTGTAATTGTGCTCAAACTTATTTACTCTATATTTGAACACTAATGCAGCTCTCCCAGCCAGCCAGTGATATTATGCTTTGTAATAAGTAACCCGGGGACTATGATAGGCGCAGTGCTTAAATACCAGTGGCTTACCTGAGGACTATAATATACCTTTACATATACTCATTATTCTGTAATTCCAACTTGATCAATATTAGTTGCATCAAAGTATAAATTCTTGTTGGGTAATATTCGTGTCCACAATTCACCTTCAAAATGCATATAAGATTTATTCAGATTTTTTTTACGCGTTATTCATTAATTTTAAATAAAAGTGAAAGTCGGTGAGAAGAATGGAGAGCTCGCAGACCTTAGCTCCCTGTTAGCGTGGGCGAGATGAAAGCAGGAGTATCTATCCAACATGTTATATTCTACACGGTAATAAAATGTGAAGAAACGTAAACTAATGGTATTGTGGCTATTTTATTATTTTGGTGGTGGGATTTTGTTTTGTGGGATTTATTCTATTACAATATTTTAATGTAGGGTTTTTATCTCGTGGGTGAGGTAAGATTATGCGAGAGAGAGAGAGAGAGATAATCCTAGGCAGTAATACAAGGTTGCCAGGCGCCCATAAGAGAGGGAGCGAGAAAGAGATAGATAGAAAGAGAAAAGACAAAAGCGAGGAACAAACCTTAGCATAATGATCACTAATGCACATGGCGGAGCGGACCAAAACATTTATACAGTTTCTTACAATGGCGTCTTAATGTACAGTCACCCAAAAAAGCCCTGTCGCGAACCACGAACCCCGGGATTCAGACTCGTGAACCCGAAGCAGTAGACACTGATACATTATTCTGTCCATAAATGCTTCGGATTCAAGAGTCTGAATCTCGGGGTTCATGGTTCGCGACAGGACTTTTTTGGGTGACTGTACATGTGTCAAGACGTTCTGTTAAAGACCTTCCAGAAAGATTCATGCCGTGTTGTGTGTCTGCCAAGAATGAATTGAATGTCATGTAACTTTCGGCATTCATAAAAGTTCGTATGTATCTGCTGTTGCTCACTTGAATTCTAGTTATTACGGTGAAATTTTATTTGCAGTATTATAGAAATTGTATGATTACGATGGTATGCGATGAAACCTTTATGACGCGTACAGTGACAAACAATGTTACGCTCTGGCCATCTCTTGTAGCTTGCCATTTCTTCTGTTTATTTACACATGACGTCAGCAGCAAGATGCGTTCCCATTGGCTATTTTTAGACAAGAGAAGCGGGAAACTTGAGTTTATTCAAGAATTTTGCGTAAATTTATTGCTAGTGTGGTTATATTGGGTTGTTGAGAAATGAAAGCTTAAATTTTTACCAAGAACAAAACATGAAGACTGCGTTTATCCTTCAGTTATATCATGACGGAAAATATTATAATGCGTCACCAGGCCCAGGAGGTGTGTGTGTGTGTGTGGCGTATATGCCTCATGGTCCAGTAAACAGTGACACGATGTTCCTAGAAGCACGATATCTGAGAGACTCGTGGCATTACCAACCCCCGAACCTGAAACCTGAAGTCTGAACCTCGAACCACGCACCCTAAACCTCGAACCCTGAACCCTGAACCCTGAATAAGGAAAACATAACAATGAAAAGGGTAGGAAATAAAATAAATAATAAGAAAAAAGTGAGGATAAGAATATAAAGAGAAGAAAGAGAGAGAGAATTATTGCACTCGGCCAATAAAGCCTCAAGGTGGTGAAGAAAGATAAAGGGATGAAATAAAAGTGCAATTAAGAAAAGGATGGATGGATGGGTAATGATAATAACAATGCTTAACATATACCTCATGTGCTGAAGGCCGGACCTGCACCACGCACGAGCGGGATACGAGCCTACGAGCTTGTGTCTCTGCTGTGATTTTAATTGAGTTTGACTTTTTATTTTTATGATTTTTCCCTTTGAATTTTACTTCCAGTGGGATATTTTCTTTGATTGATGCCAAATGACGTTTTAGACTTGAACATGATTACATTTGATCTCGACGCTATGGTACAGACGGGTAACGAGCGATGTAGGTAAACACATAGGTAACACTGAATCAGATATGTCAATCATTTCTCCAATAATAGCTAATGACAAAACTTTGATGGCGAGGATCAGTCATGACTAACTCCCTCGGAGATTGACAGGCGGAGGAAG